ATCATCCGCATACTCAAGGTCGAGAAGTCTTTCTCCAGGCAACAGATCCACACCACCATTACTTACATCCATCAGAGCTGTTTCCAGAATGTCATCGATGCAAAGTTGAAGAGGAATGGTGAGATTGGGCAACCCTGCCTAATCCCACTACTCGAATGGAACAATGGATGGAGGTGGTTGTATGCCCTCACTCTGCCTGAGGTGTTTGTATATAGGGCTTTTAGGATGTTAATAAACTTCTCAGGCACACCCTTCTTAAGATAGACAATCCCAGAGAACAGTCCTGTCCAACGAATCGAAGGCAGCCCTGATGTCAAGAAACACTACGATTGTTGGCCTTTGATAAGTATGACGGTGTTCTAACATTTGGCGGAGGGTGAAGATATGATCAATACATCATCGACTGGAACGAAAACTAGCCAGCCCTATCTGTTGTCCGATCTTCATTAGTGTGCGAACGTTAAAGGCAGCCAGTTTGAATGGTGCACGTGGTTTCAGAGAAACTGCTTCAGTGCTCATATTCGGTGGTAACATACAATTTTCAACCGGACAGTGACTCGAGAACGTTTAGATACAGTCGAATTTCCACCAAAGACGAGCCGTTGTATAAGTATAAAAGAGGGTGAATAATGTGGAAAATAATAATAATAATAATAATAATAATAACAACAATAGTAATAATATTAATAATAGTATTAATAATGACAATAACTGTAATGATAATAATTTGAATCAATTGATTGTTTTTCGAAGCGAGAAAAGTAATTTCCTTAGACATAGAGAGTTCATCATTTGCGTGTGGGCTGTGATACTGCCCGGGTACCCAAACCGAAGCAGGTGGTTTTCTTAGGGGGTCACACCCCGAGCCTTCGACCTGAAGGTCTGATCCACAAGGCAGTGGAGCATCGTAAGGAGATGCAGTCCCATGGAAGTCGGTGACCAACGATTGGTTCACACGCCATTTGTTCCCGCAGGATACTGGAGCCCATGTGCACCATTGGTTTGGAATCCGGTTAAAGCGCCGAACATCCGCTTTTCGTCCTCTCATTTTCGTAAACAACACCCTCGCCACGAGAAGGTAGTGAGTAGGATTTCCCTGGCAGAGGCTATATACGCGTGGCCATGTGAGAGCAGTTCGAGAGAGAGAGCGGACTCTCCCCACTCTCGGCCGTACCAGGGCATTAGGGGGCTTCAAAACTATATAGACAAACTGAACACTTTTTTGAACTAACGGTGACAATCTTCGCGACTAGACGATGCAAAAACCATGGAGTCTTTGATCATGAGCGTCATTATTAAATCCATAAATACTAAGATCATCTTCACAAGCTTCTACATCTTTGAAAACACTGAAAACATTGTGCATCGCCTGTTGAGATATGGCTGGAAAACAACCTTAACGAATTGGAAGGTAATCATATTTGAGTAAACACGATGGACTGTTGACCGTTATCAAATGAGATGAAGAACAATATAATAGAACCTGAAGACGGGTATATTCTAAACCAACTTTTGAGAATACTTCAGATCTATGAAGTCAATTATGAATATATTCCGTTTTGAACCATGGTGCTTAATTATTGTTACGGATGAGTGTTTATTGTTAATCTGTAATCATTACATATTCTGGGGGTTTAATCATGAACTTTCAAAGAGAGAACAATGAAAGTACCTCACGCTGCAAACGGCTAAATTATTATTTTTCATACAAATCATTTAGTGTCATATGCACTACTTCTGAAAGACCATAGGGAATCTGAGGTGTTTGAATGAACTGATGATTTCTTCGTACTTGTTGAATGCTTGATTTCAAACTCTAAATGCAATACATTCGTTCGTGTTTGTCTAGTACTTCTTGATTCAACTGCGTTATTTCTGGGACTCTTAGTTCATACTATAATTCAAATAATTCGAAACATTATAGAATCGTTCATCTTCTAATAAAGACTGGATCACCCTGTGCTTGAAGTACTATGAACTGAACTCTCACACCCACACCACACTTAGAACAAGCAGCTATCAAATCTTTAAGTTCAGAACCTTCGTCACAAGGCATTCTCAATCTAAGACTTTTCAAATGTTTCAAACCTAATATTTACATCCCTTTTCGCTTAACGAAACTTCACAAGGCATGTGTATAGGATCACCATCTCAGCACTCTAGTAATGGCAGTTTGTTTCTTGTAGTCTTCATCACTGAAAATTTAGTAGATCTTACAGCGATCTTAGAAACTAAACATTTTGAGGTAATGAAATCTATACGGCTTGTATCAACAATAAAATTATGGGACGAATCGGACAATCACTTCTGAATGTGTAAAGTGCCTCTAAAGGTCATGAATTTTGATTATATTTGAACAGAAAAACATCTAAAATAATGGAATTAGAATCGGAGAGTTTATCACTGATGGCTGTGAAAGCCATTATTTTCCTACACACCGACTTGTTTTGTTTTGTCCTACTGGAAGCGTTTAGCATGATGAAAAGCAGGGAAATTACGTGAGTGAAGGTTCCCACACGTTGAAAAAACATACAAACATGTTTCCACATTTGTTAACTCCCTTCTCATTCTTTGGGTAATGATTCCTTATGTTTCCACAAGAATGGGAGTGTTTAGTAACCATATAAGGGAAGGAAGGATCTACAGCATGTAATTTATTCATGTTCGATATTTCGAGAGGTATGTGACCGAAATCGACCTTCCGTTGTGGAGGATGTATAGCGTAGCATTCTCAATGTTGATTTAATGCATATGTATGACCAAACGTCTTTGGCTCGTGTGTGTCCAGTTAAACTAATGAGATCAATATCATTGTTGATGATTTATAAACTAACTACTCTGGTGAGTTATTTATGAATGCAAGGTCATCATGACTACTGGACAAAGTAATAGAAACTTACACTAACTGGAAAGCAAACCTATTAACTGCCTCATAGTCATTATGTGTCTTTTTAATTTGTTCAAATGAAATTTTAGGATCCGAAATAATTCTCTTTCGATCTCTGTATATTTGTTCCAATAGACAACCGGTCGGATTTCCAATCGATCTCCGGGCTTGTATTTCGTTACCTGTTTCTGTGATTGAAGAACAAATTTCCTACTGTCGGACCTTTCTGTCACATCATCATCTAAATGTTTTATCACCCCCTCCACTCTAAGCTTGTAAATCATGTGTTGTTGAGCAATAATCATCTTTGTCTCACGAAATTTCAGATATACTAGCTGAATCAGGTTTGACCAAAGCCGAGACTTTAATAAATTCTTCCAGCAAAGTCTGCTCTATGGTTATCATTAACGAGACTTGTCATCATCACACCACTAACATACCATCTATGGGATCTGTACAGTTGATCGAGGAATCTGTCATTCAACTGATCATTGTCCTCAGATCTAGCAAGACAGTGAGTCCTGATGGGTTGTATCCACGATTTTTGTCGTCTCTCGCAGAGACTATCTCAGGACCACTCATGATACTGTCCAACATAACACTTTCTGTGGCGTTATGAACTAAAGATGCCGTTGTACTTGATGACTGCCTGATTTTGAATTCTAAATACAATATATTCGTTCATGGTCATCATGCACCTCTTGGTTTAATCGAGTTATATCAGGGATTCCTAGTTTGTACCATAATTCAAATACTTCAAATCATCACACTTTACTCAACTCAAGTGCTTGAGGATTCGAAAGGTGCTCTAGTTAACAGGTCGTATCTAATCATCGACCTGTCACCCCAACCAGAATAGTAGTTAAGTTACATGAAAAATTAATTCCGGCTGTGTTACCAATTCATATAGAATCATACAATCTGTTAACTCCCGAGCAACACGGAATAAGCCTTTATGTTAAACCAACTTACTAATTGAAAGGTAGGATTGGATGACTCCTCAAGATAATGGTTTATTTCTTGATGTAATAATCATAGGTTTTAGCAAAGCGATTGATAAGGTTTCACAACCAGGTCATTTGCAGGAGCCCACGATCTTTGGAGTAAAAGTTGCTGTACAGTAATAGATAAGAGAATTGCTCTGTGGCTGAAAACGGAGAATGAGTGGAGAATGGACGCTATCTGGATGAAAGCCAGTCAAAAGTGAATTACCACGACCGCATGAGTTATCGACATTACTGCTTGCAGATGATATTAAAATCTACAGAACAATAAGTAGTAAGCTGATTGTCTTGATTTTTAAGCTAACCAAGATGGATCAGTCAGATGTCATTTAAAGATGGGGCTTATAAACCGGTTCTAGACAGACTGTACTAATGCACATCGGACACGACCATTTTTACCACCATGCAGTGAACGGTACATCACTTCAGTACGTGCAAGAACACAGAAACTTAGGGGTAACAGATAATTCGTGACTATTAAAAAACTACGCATTGCAATGCAGCGTCCGCCAGAGGTTTACGAGCGTTATGGTCACTTCACCGAGCATTTAGATGTTCTGACGAGTTGTTCCGGACTTATATTCCGCCTAAAGTAATGTGTTCAAGTAGCCAGTCCATATCTTACTGAAGATACTAATAATCTTCAGCGTGTTCACTATGTAGGAACAAGGTTTGTGGAGGGTCTTACCAAACTCCTTTACAAAGAACGATTAAAACAATTGAACCCTTTCCCTTTTTTGTATCGTAGAACGCGAGGTGACTAAACATTTCCTATCTTTAATATCGAGGGCATGGCAATATGGTTCAAAACCACGACCTCATTAGCTCAGAGTGAGGTCCCGTTTTTTTTATCGAGTAGTCAGTGACTAGAACACCTCACCTTACTATTGTAATTTAGACGTTCGTCATCGTTGCACGAACTTACCTGAGATCAGACTATGACCTTGATGTGATTTTAATTGTCTCATTGAAAGGAGTTTTGTGAAGCAGAAATACTGGGGACCGTAAATTGACTCATCCTAGTGAAAGGTGTGAAACTAATAACTTGGTGTTTGAAATTGTGCTTTCGAAATTACAAGGACGAATCACAGAACTGCCTTAATCATTTCAGCCAATCAAAATAGGAAGAGGGGAAGGGCGGCGAGTTTGGTTGTCTTTGGTTTTAGTGTTGATTATGTCATGGGATTGTTTCGATTGTTTGAAGGATATAATCTGTACTCAATGGGCGTTAGTTACTTTAGTGCTTTTGTTGTTCGCAGTCTACATAACCCCAAAGTAATTTTAATCAACTCCCATATTTGTTTCAGAGTTCTGGTTATTGTTCTAACGGCATTTCTTAGTAAATTTATTCCATGTATCCTCACCGTTCAAAGGTTTGGATTTATTTGGGCACGTGGAGTTACTCTCACTTTCATAAACGGAGAGTGCATGGTAAATATCCCTCATTGAAATAGTAATGATTTAGTATGTGGATTCTATATATTTTAGCAGTAGCTTATGGAATCCTAAAGCTAAGTAAGTTTCATACTAAAATACCTTAATTCATAAAGGACTTTGTTGTCTGCTTGGATAAATGGTGCTGAGTTTTGTGTGACTGACACCGGTCTTTATGGTATTATCAAATTAATGCAGCGCAAAGGTGACGGCATCAGAACCCGTCTGAATAAAGGCTTCATGTCATGGAAAATAAGACTGGTTTCGGTAGGTCATGTTTTGATTTCTTGTAAGCAAAGGTTTTTGAGTCTGTGGGTAATATTGCATTTTTCCAAATATTTTGAAAAAGATATTCTTGAGTTAATTTGACGCTCTAGCGAAATAGATGTCTAAACATTTATTTTTGTCACCGTAAAACAATCAGGAGATTTAATTGTTTCCATCTACATAATTTTTAGAGAGTGAAGTTAGGAGGTGTTTCATAAATCTTCATTTCTCCAGTGTTTTTATATCTTTTAAAGTTATTTGCTTCAGATATCCATCAAGTAATGCCGGGAACATTGTATTGACGTTCTGAGCTTGTTTGTATGTAGTTAGTGAGTCAGTCTCAGTATAACATGATAGCATATCTCGTTTTTTTCTCTATGGAACCTAACATTTATGATAAAAACTCGTAAGCAAGTACTACGATCAATGTAGGTTTATTTAGTGGTTTAATCGGATCTTGTCAATCACGTCAGTTTAGTGGCTAATCCAACACGAGAAATACATAAGTAGATGAAAGAAGACTGTTTGAATGGAAAAAAAGAGCTATTCATCATTTGGATTATATTATTTTAACTTTGGCGTTAATTATATGGGTCTTAAATCTGTAACACATAAGTTCATGTTTTAATTATCTGTTTGGAAAATACAGATGAGTCATAACAATCTGTTAAACAATTAATCCACATTAGGTTGTGATTGCCTTTCTAATTTTACCGATTGAAATGGAATTAATGTAACGTGTTACTAACTCACTTGATTTAGATGTGGCGAGTATTAACTTCGTTCATACCAGCTCATCGATGATTGCTCCCACTGCATACGTTCTATGAGGGTAAAAGATAAACATTGGTTACGAGTATTCGATTAAGACGATTGGAGCAAGTGTTACTTTTGTTCGACCATTAACTACCATTGTACACTTTACTACTGACTGTTGGATAGGCTGAAAAAGATCACAGAAATCGTGTCAAGATATAATATCAGTTCATGAAGCTAGAATTTATTGGTTAGAACTTTGTTTAATAAAGATACAGGCTGGTAAATTCCTTGTAGTACGTTATCTATCATTAATGACCGTGTAATCTAAGTGATAACGGGATAACTACACCAAAGTGTTCGACAATTAAGTACTAGGTTTGTTATAGACTAACAGTAACTTGAGAAAGGTACAACACAATCATAGTTTATGCATTACGGAAGCACTCACAAGCAGGAGAATACAATAATTTAAGTATTTAGTAATTAAAGAATTAAAATATAAATATTGACTCCAGGTAGGACAGTTCTGAAGGTTCACATTTTCCAATACTCATGCCGCCATAACACGAACATGTGACTAGCGCTTGAAAATACATTTTAATCACAAAACACCCTTGATTATGATGTGAATCACATCATACACTGTCAGATACAATATGCATATGGAGCACGTATATCTTTTAAACTAACCTGCCTTGTGTGGTTGCATAACAGTTAGACAAGATTTACTTATTTTTTAAAAGATAAGATACATACTATTGCCCACTGTTTTTTAGCTTTTGCACAGAAGTTTTTATAGCCGCCATTGTAATTCTGATTAGTCGCGGGGAAATCGTCACTAATAACAATTTTACCCAGTTTTCCTTCAACGGTTATTGGTTGCCTTTTTTAATCTCATTTATTTATTATTTACTTGAACATATAAATATTGGTACGAAGGGGCACAGAATACATATGCGTCATACAATTCATTTGATTTGTGTGTCGGCTATGATACTGCCTGGGTGCCCAAACTTCATAACTGATAACGACCATAAAATAATGGCATTTTGTAACCGCTAGCGTGGGGAAAGTTTTAGACAAAATTTAATTTGTTTTTACAAAGTAATTTCCATCAGTATATGGTGTACGTCGCGTTATTAACGTGCTAGATACTTCAACATGCGCAAAGTCGTGTATATTCTAGTTTCTATGATGATGAATCAGTATTTTATAATTGCATGTGCGTGATTCCTATCTAAAATGTTACTAAATGTGTTATAAACAGGAATGATCAATTTTCAAAGAAAAGTGGTTGAGCGTTTGGGTTCTGATATTTTAAAAAAATATTTTTTCTCTCCTGCAGTTCATTTCAATTGATGTATCATCCATACAAATAGTGGTATTATCGACTACATTTCTGGATGATGCTTTATATTTGAATTATAAAAAGACTGAGGATGGTGCACTCAATAATAACAGTAATAGATCTGCCTGTCATCATTGCTTAATTCGTATCAATGATTTAAGTGATGTTCACCAACCTATTCAATTTAATCGTCAAACAAGCTTCCGTTTGAATAAAACTAGTAAATTGGCTTTAACTCTACGAATGACAAAGTTAACAATGTTATTTCATATCAGTATGAGACAGTATGTTTTTATTTGTGTATTAACGATCTTATCATTATTGTTATTATTACTACACAACTAGTTAATTAATTTCATAGTCGATCATTTCTCATCATCGTAAAGCCTGGTAAAAGTATGCATTGGCCCAATTCGTCATACCATACTCAGGACTGTTGGTATGTAAAAGAAGTTAAAGACAGAAGACGAGGGTCGCTAGTGGAAATAAAAGTAACATTAGGCGATAGAGATTGGGCTTAACTGTGTACAAGTTGATCTGTAGTGTTGTTAGAGGTGTCAGGTCGGTTGTTACTCTGGTTGCCTACACCGTGTAAAGATACTTTTTCCTGAGGTATCTAAGCAAGAACATGGGTTATGAGTGGTCCGGATGACTTAAGAGTGTGAACACAGTGCTTAATACTGGTCGCACATAGTCTTTATGTGAGTAGTGTTAGATATGTTAGCGTCGCACTTTTAAGGCTTTACCGTTACCCACGTAAATCAGTGATGAAAGGTGATGTGTGCCATTTTCAGGTCAACTGCTTCTAACCCACTCCTTTTGGGGAAAGGCAGTATTGCTGGGGATGCTGTATGTTTGTTTCAATGCTCCTTGGTCTTTTTCAGATATACGTCTGTGTCAGCTAACATTAAATGCTGAACTAGGCTTTCATAACTGTTTGCTTTAGCTACTCCAATAAAGGCTTGATGTATCCAATTTGTACTTTACACCTAACCTTAGGATACATCGGTGAATTATCGACAACCACAAAAAGAATCTATCGTTCTGTGATTTTAAGTGAGAAATTATTGGATCTTAAAGCTGAAGCATCCGGCATAAAAGTAATTTTAATTCATTAACTGGCCAGGTTCACTTGGGAGGTGGGGAGGTAGTGTTTATAACTTTACCCGTCTTAGTTATTTTACTCAACGGATTGGTCACTCCATTTTTGGTTCTCGCTCCCGATTTGGATGTTCTATCTTACTTCAAACTTCAACCTTATCCGATAATAGTTTAAAACGTTGATGCTTGATCGAAGTTCTCCCTATCAACTATAATTTTGTCTGATAAGATCGAATTAAGTCATTTCTCTGCTTTGTAGTTTACAACTATAGTCAGCTAGATAAAACTCTTGCTTTATCTAGATCGCACACGTGCTGGGATCTGAAATTGTGAATGCAATTAATAATAAATAATAAAATTCTAACTAATTTCATTGAATGTCACCTCTGAATTATTCGGGAAATTTATATGAATTCTATCGTATTATGGATTATCAATTTTCTCAAATCTCAGGCTACTCCGTGCTACTAAGGGCCTATTCTTGAAATATTACTTAGACATGATCGTTTTTTAATTGTCAGACTTTACGTTTCTTACGGCCGATTACGTAACAACAACAATGCAAGCATGTTCGGGATGCGATTTGCCCCCTCGAAATGCAAGATGTTACTCCAGGATTGGGTGGCTTCGACACCCGAACTAATGATAAGGAGTGAAGTAAATGAGCGTGTTGGCCACTTCACTTATTTTGGGAGTCTCATCAGCCCTTGTGGTCTGGTGTGTGACAAAATCTCAGCATGGACACAGAAGGCTCGACTAGCTTATGCCAAATTACGTCATTTATGGCGTAGGCGAGATATCCGACTACCAAGCATAGGACGAGTTTACTGCGCAGCCGTTCTTTCTGTCGTACTTCATGGCAGTGAAACTTGGCTGGTAAGAGAAGAGGATATTCGTAGGTTACTAGTATTCTATCATAGGTATCTTGGAAACATTGCTCGTATATCATGGGACCACCGAGTAAGTAAGTCAGTTGTTGGGAAACGGGTACTAGGTAAGGATGGCAAATCGATTGATAAAGTAGTGAAACTTGATCAGTTGAGATGTCTGGGACACGTGTTACGTATGCCCAACCACTGACTACTCCAACATGTGATGTTTTATGATGTAGGAGTAGGTTGGAAGAAGGGTAGGGGCGATCAGAACAAAACATGACACAAATCCATGAAATTATTGATAAGTAAACTGAGTCATGTTGGTAGGTGTAGACTACCTGGTTGTAATCCACGAGGTGATAGCAGCCGATGGTTAGAGACCTTGAATGATATGGCTCGAAATCGTTTGCAATGGTGTGCGCAGGTGCATCCACTCTTTGTGTTCTCCCAAATTCTAATCTTCTAAATTCTTCATGTCCCTTTTTTCCTCTTTCCAAATTTATCTCACTGGATTATACTCTTTAAATAACATCTCCAAACACTAGTCTTCCCGATTACTGCTTATACTCTTATTACCTCTACCACTACGGGATTTGAATCGACAACTGCATCTCTGTGCTAATGTGGTGTGGCAACTTGAACTGATGTACGTACGTACGAAGTTCTACTTTGTTACTGACTGACTGGCTGTACATCTCGAGTGAATTCTATGACTGTTAAAGTGTCTGGCATTATGATTGCATGATAAACCTGAGGGATAGGATTTAAATAAAATTCAATACCAAACAATCTAACACCATTTTGATGTCTTCCTTATTCGTTATATTTATTTTTTCATTTTATGTAAATCTTAAGGCTTACTGTACATCATTATTAAGATTGTTAAATTTTGTCTTTATCATAGACTGAGCTTATTCAGAATACAATTGAAGTATAGGAAACATTAGGGAGGTATTTCGTTCTTGTATGGGACTCTCTTAACAATAACCATCCGTCACTGCATCGTACACACGGATTTCAGGTCTCTCAGAAAGTGCTTATATCCAGTGATCTTGAGTTCGGTCCCTGGGTGGGGTCTCAGATGTCCGCTACTGTAGAGTCCCAACAGTCGTTCAATGCTTTCTACTTTCAACTAGTTGTCTAACTAAATCGGTCTGTGATGTAAACCATGAAAACTTAACAAAGTTTATTTAGAATGTTGAAAATTGGATAGACATTTTTCATATCACACAATTTCTAATTATTCTTTTGTCTAATTAAACATCCATCTTTTTTATCCGCATGTATAAGGGCTCATGTAAATCTACATGTATCCCATATTTGTGGAAAGTTACTATGTATACCTGTGTTCATGGAAACTTGGTTAAGTGATGATTTATTCAATAAAAATTGGAATGTTATCTTTGAAAACGCTCACATATTGGGTCATCTTCGTTTACAATTGTCCACTAATATTTCATTGGAATGCCGAAATTTCAATAATGCAACACTGTCATCATTAAATGGTTGGTTCGTAAAATCGGTCGATTTAAAATTGTACGGACTACGTACTGTAATTTTAGAAGGTAAGTTAATAAAAATCCTTTTTACTAAAGCTAGACTATGAGGTTAAATTTAAGGTATTCTCTAAATGTTCGTGACAAATGCTTTATCCAATCCAGGCAATCAGTAACGAGCAAATATGTATAAATGATAATATACTACTAGGACTAAGGTAATTTTTTTGTAGGGTTGCAATTAAGATGTAGAGTTTTGGATTTAGTGTACATATAGATTAACAGTAAAATCTAATCTTGAATCCTAAACCCTAACCTACAAATCTTAATCCTACTGCCTAAATCTTAGTTCTAACACATATGTATGGTAAAATATACCATTAGACCCTGGGGCTGGGTTCAACCCCTGTTGAGGTGATGTGTGCACACTTCCGATAAGCACTATATGTTAGTGGTTCAAAACATCATAAACATCCAGAAAAGGTTGAAAATGTTTTATCCAATCAACGTTGGATAAAAGTTTCTCAGAAACGTCTGAAAACAATGAAGGATTATGTGTCACGTTTTGATCGAACAACTTATTTCGTTACTACGTTCAGTATATTTCCAGGAGATGAAGGCCACCTAAAAATGTATAAATAAACTCGATTTCCTGTACACAGATTAATTTTGAATCAAAGTTTTCACTCATATTTGATGCCTTTTTTCTATTGTTTTTTAATTCAAGTGCAGAAGTAGTCTGGGAATAGTAGGAACGAGATGGGAGATGATCAATATTAAATGTCCATGTAAATGACTTATCACTATACTAGAACGAAGAAACTATTCAATGTTTTATAGTTTTTAATAGTACCCCAAATCGATATTAAGCGGTTGCAAATACAACCTACATATACTTATTATTGAAGTATATTCGAGTAAAATACCCCTGATTAAGATAATCATTGAAAACAATGTTGTTCGCCTATATGTACTGGTTTTGTTTACAAATAAGATGGAAATTTTTTATTAGAATATTACATGTTTATATTTCAACTTATTTTCTATTCTTACATTCTATAGAGCTTATAGATTTGTTGAGTTGGAAACTTTATACAAATCAAACATCTATCTTAACCACACAAACGTCATCGCTTACATCAACATGTCCTCATTGTCATCAGTTTACCATTAAGCATCAAGAGGATACTTTACAAATTCTGGAGCATTCATCATTTCCTTTTAAAAATAATAAATCTTGTTATTTAAAACAAACATCGGAGAATATTATGTCTGATAATTCATTAAAATCAAATTTTCAATGTGTTCAACAATATTTGAATTCCATAAAATTATACATTTCGTTTTTACCGTTACAATTATTCAATTTCAATCATAATCATCATTTTGAACAGATACAACCACAATTCTCCTCCTCCTTATCATCATCATTAACAAGTTCAGTTGTACCTGAGATGGGATTCTATTTTGAAATAATTAGATATTCATTTAAAAGGTGAATTGTGTGTGTGTCAATGTTTCATTGGTCTTACGTTTTTTCACCATTACTTTCATCCATTTTACTTAAGTGTGCATTCACGCAGGTGAAATGTGTTAGGTAAAAGCTAATAATAATAATAATAATACTGCGTGATTTAGTGGAAAAATAATGTTGTTCAGCAGTTAAGTTGTTCGACTTTCGGCCACCGAGTCCCAGGTTCAAACTCCGTCTCACCTACTTCGGTTTGGACAACCGAGTAATATTATTAACTATCACATTTTATGTATGCCTCATACTCAAGTACAAAAATTTGTACGAGTTAATTAGTCAATAATATGTTAACAAAGCAAATTGTGTTTGTGCTTCGAACCCATGACTTAATTTGTTATGAAAGTCATTTACAGTATGCAATGACTATTGATTCGGTGTTCCATCGATTTTTCATTCATTGTTTACTAATATAAATAGTAACAGGTAGAGTCAGTGAAAGATACATATCATACCAGGCTCTGAACCAATGTAATTCTTTTCCTGCCGTTCAGATACAGTGATTTCGGCTTTTGTATTTAATTTATAAGTAATATAAGTGCGTGATCATATGAGTTGGTTGTATTTAGTAGCAGCATTCTAATTTAGCTGTTTGGTAGGTGGTAGCTGAATCTTACATGATTTTTGATTATTATAGAATTATTTAATTCTGAAAATTTCCTTTTTAAATTAAATCAATCAATTAGTTTTACCCTAGTCAATACCCTCTTTAATTTACCCTTAAGACATTTCTATCAGTCACTAGAGGAATGTCAATTTATTTCTATATCGAAAATAACAACAGGCACAAAATCAACGTCTAGGGATTCCTATTAATTGCCTTCATCTGACGTTGGAAGAGTGCACATGGTATCGAGCAGTCTGACTAATGATTGATCATATTGCAACTTCCTCATCAGAACTCGATTGGCACTGAGAACTGGGTAAATATGACTGGTTTCTACTCAGTGATTGGTTTGTGTAATTATTTGATAGAATAAGCATCTGAGACTTTACGAGTTATCTTATTGATCTGTGCCGATAATATTGATTTGGTTTCCTAAGCATACACCCAAATATCTTGAAAGTTAGTTTGCACCACCTGGACAATCTTTGGAAACCAGGGAGGACCAAACAGTCGTCTTATCTTAGTCTCTTGGGACTCTTTAGTGGTACACAAAAATGACCCAAGACCTTGAGGCTTAATTGTGACTAGCAGTAAAAAGAACTTCCAAAATTGTAGAAAGCTGAAACCAATGGGGGCGAATCGTATCGAGTTCGAGTCAGTAATCGCTGAATGCTATTTGCACAATGTCGCAGTTCAGTTCAGGTTAGATGTGGGAACCTTTGGCTTTAAACTTACTGGTCTAAACATAGCTCACGGCCATCTGGTTCAAAGTTCCTGAGTTAGTTCTGGTGTTTCTGTCATATATGCACGCTACTAAACAGTCCCAAGAGGATGCGATGATGAAACAGCTATTCAGTGATCGTTTAGCTGAAGTCAGCTTGTAATGTCAAACTATCTTTTAGTAGAACAATCTCGACCTCATTCACATCTTTTTATTTTACCTCCCTTTCCTCTCTTTTTCCTTGGAACAGAAGTCTCCAATTCTATTTCACTTCGTCTCATTTATCTATGGAATTCAATGTGCCTAATTCTCTAAAATGTAGTCAAGATGCTGAAACACTTCAGACGACATCTGATTTTTACACATCATTACATTCATTATCTTTACCAATATCACGAATAATTCCATCAAATCTGTTGAATGATGATAATATTGACAGTAAAATTCTATTTAATCATTTTATTTTATTAAATTTTCGATTTTGTTTGAATAATTTACGCTTATTAAATGGTTGGAATTCACAGGCTAAGCATTGTTTATTAGATGCTAGGATATATTTAATAGAAGCAACCGAGCAAGTAAGCCCTATTATTATTATTATTATTATTATTATTATTATTATTATTATTATTATTATTATTATTATTATTATTCATATTTTACATCATGGATCGTCATTAGTCAGATTACCATTAAAATCAGAAAACACAATTATATGTACGAAGAATATTCTTTTCAATAATTTCTCATCACGTTCTACACTTATAAATCCAAATTAATAATCCATAAAATTGGCCAGATTTGAGGCTGAGTACATCATTTAAAACGGTAACATATGAATTGAGGATTATTTGTGATATGAAATAAAATAACATCGTTAATATATCGCAAACATCGTTTATATCACAAACAATCCTTAATTCATATGTTACAATTTTCAATGATGTACTCAGCCTCAAATTTGGCCAATTTTATGGATTATTAACTTGGATTTATAAGTGTAGAACGTGATGAGAAATTATTGAAAAGAATATTCTTCGTTCATATAATTATGTTTTAATATAATGAGAGTTTTTCAGCGATTCAAATCAGAAAACACCGAATAGCTGTTTCCTAATATGGGATTCTTCATTAGTGAGGATCTATGACCCAACTGGATATTGAACCCAGAACTTTCAGGCCTCTCGATGATTGCTTCTGTCTGTTTGTGTTCTGAGCTAACATCCAACAGTTTGAAATGGTTGTCTGAATAAGGTCAACTCGTGATGTAAACCACAAAATTTCACAATTCCGACAACTTCCCCATACTTGTAGTACGTATGTTATCACCATTACCTAATAGCAAGAGTTCTAATGAGAAGCTGTAATTATTGGCATTTAACCATGTCAGATGTAAGCAAGTGTCTTACCAATGACAAAATATATCTTTTCACAATATCGCTTTCTAGCTGAAGATAGAAATATCAACCATTGGATGCCGATTCAATGCGCTCATTGAGAGATGTGAAGGTTCTAGGTTTGTGGTGGGGACAGATCTTGTATTAAGGCAAAAGAACTCCCCAGAACTTTCAAATTTTTAGTGCTTGTCTAATTAAACTCAGTGATGTAAAAGATAATTTATTAATCCCCAACAACGCCCAATACTAAAACTGGTGCTGTTTAGTGATAAACCATTTTCGGAAATTATCGTAGTATCCATCAATCTAAAGACTGCGAAACGCTACTATAAATAGGAAATCGTGTCGTGTGTACATAATTTTTGATACATATCTAGATAACAGATACGTAATTTATTAACAATAATTTGTGAACGGCAAAATGTATATCAACGGTTAATGAGTTAAATGAAACCTTACAATCAATGCAGTATTAGAAAAATTATCTCAAGACAAATCTTTCATTAATACGTAATAAAAATATGTAATAATAATCCGTCGTCGAATAGTCTGCAAAGTTTTAAACTTTTATATTGGTTATAATGGAACAGGTATTGCAGGAGTTAGAACTCCTGGAATTGTATAGTTGCTAAATAACTGGACTATGACGTTTCTGTATTTCATTTGATTCAATAACTATGAATGTATGTACTATTATTCTTAGTTTATTACTAACCAATTATGTACAGCTTACCCCCAAATGCCCTGGTACGGCCGAGAGTGGGGAGAGTCCGCTCTCTCTCTCGAACTGCTCTCACATGGCCACACGTATATAGCCTCTTCCAGGGAATTCCTACTCACTGCCTTCTCGTGGCGGGGGTGTTGTTTACGAAAATGAGAGGACGAAAAGCGGATGTTCGGCGCTTTAACCGGATTCCAAACCAATGGTGCACATGGGCTCCAGTATCCTGCGGGAACAAATGGCGTGTGAACCAATCGTTGGTCACCGACTTCCATGGGACTGCATCTCCTTACGATGCTCCACTGCCTTGTGGATCAGACCTTCAGGTCGAAGGCTCGGGGTGTGACCCCCTAAGAAAACCACCTGCTTCGGTTTGGGCACCCGGGCAGTATTACAGCCATCACACAGATCGAATGATATTTGTGTGGCGCATATGTATTTGGTGCCTCCTTGTACCAATATCTATGTGTTAAAATAATAATAATAATACAGCTTACCCGGTTCACAGTCATTTCTGACTCCTATGAGTATAATTATTATTTTCTATTATTATAGTACGATATGGTTCAGTATGATTGTATTGTAAACTAATGTATGCTTTAAATATAATAATAGTAGAAGCTGGGCTCCAGTCGTCTCTTCGGATTCGAGGCTGAAGATACAGATAGGTTTTCGGGTAGGTGGATCAACAAGTGTGTAGCTTACGTTAACTCAAAGTTAATTGAACCAGTCAGAGCAGATCATTACTGAAGTTTATGAATACTAATCTAATGACGGAATGGGTAGCTTGGAGATAGATATTTCTGACGGGAGAATCGGCCATGTGTTATGAATAAACGTCTCATAGACATAAAACCACTTATACGCTCATACCTAACAAGGGTTGGTTTTGAACTATACTGTTTGTAAATGTAGGTGTTAGTGTACATTTGAGAGGGAGGAGTGATACTCTAACCTCATAGGTTACCCACGCGGAAGAACTTACGATCCACTAATTGGAAGCTATGTATTTTAGACAGTAGGTGGATGAAATCAAATTAATAAACATATATGATTCTCACTATTTCATTTTTTTATTTTATTTGAACACATAAATATTGGTAAAAAGGGACACCGAATACATATGCGCCACACAATCCACTTGATTTGTGTGTGGGATGTGTTACTGCCCGGGTGCCCAGACCGAAGCAGGTGGTTTTCATAGGGGGCCACGTTCGGAGAATTCGACCTAAAGGCCCGATCCGTAACTTGCGTCATTTATGGAGTAGGTGTGATATCCGACTACCAAGCATAGGACGAGTTCGTTCTGTCCTGCTTTATGGCAGTGAAACTTGGCTGGTAAGAGAAGAGGATATTCGTAGGTTACTAGTATTCCATCATAGGTATCTTGGAAACATTGCTCGTATATCCTGGGACCATCAAGTAAGTAAGTCAGTTGTTGGGAAACGGGTACTAGGTAAGGATGGTAAATCGATTGATAAAGTAGTGAAACTTGATCAGTTGAGATGTCTGGGACACGTGTTACGTATGCCCAACCACTGACTACTCCAACATGTGATGTTTTATGATGTAGGAGTAGGTTGGAAGAAGGGTAGGGGCGATCAGACCAAAACATGACACAAATCCATGAAATTATTGATAAGTAAACTGAGTCATGTTGGTGACCAACGATTGGTTTATATACCATTTGTTCCTTCAGGATCCTGTAGCCAATGTACACCATTAGTTCGGAGTCGGGGTTTTCCAATTTCCTTTAGATGTATCGTCCGTATCTACCAACCCGGTTAAAGCGCTCGTCATTCGCTTTTCATCTCGATTTCGTAAATAACACCCGTTATGTGAGAAGGCAGTGAATAGGACTTCCTGGTGAGTGGTTGTATGCACATGGCCATGTAAGATTAGAACATTTCGTTAAGGAGAGCTAACTCTCTTCACCCTTGGCCGTACGAGGGCATTTTGGGGCTGATCCCCATTCGGTTTTAAAACAAATACTTTTTAAAAAAAACCTCAATTACATATTGTTTCCTCCTAATCTCTTGTTATTTGATTTGTTTCTTTTGTTTAATAGCTCGAATCATCTATTTGTAATCTTTATTTGAATATTTTACATTCATCAATATTTTATATACATGATAATATAGTCGAAATGAATTTTTATAGAAAATTATCATCTATCTGTTATTTGTTTGGAATATGGTGTAAAACATTGTATGAAAATCGTAATTCTATTAATAATCATTCAATTATGTCTATAACCAATATTGAATTACATAATTATCCAAAGAAGAATACAGATCTAAAACAGTTTAATTTTATGGTAAGTATATATATACAAATGATGATAAATATGTTTCGATTGTTAAAACGGTGAATGGAATACTAACCGTAAGATTAATTTTTGTTACAAGTCAGAGTATACATTCATCCACTCGGTGACTTTGAGTTAAGAACTGTTCAACACAATTTCTCAAGGTGAAGTAGTGGACTGGTTGTAATTGTCTACAAAAGGCCAAATTATTATTATTATTATTATTATTATTATTATTATTATTATTATTATTATTATCTGAACTGTCAATCTCATAAAAACAATAGATATTAAAAGGCTGAACAACTGAAACAGTTTTATGCTAAATTGTTAGTTACAGTGATTATGAAAAGTTTATTGTTGTATTTCTGTTTTTTTTTATAACCTTGATGTAGGGCTAATTAGTGTAACTGTTAACAAATTGTTAAAGATATGCTTATCACTGGATGGTTAAAAATACGATTAGTTAACGTAATCCGATTTAAGATTAATCATGAATAGTATATAAAATAGCCAGGGAGCTATCCAGCTATATATATATATATATATATATTCAAATGATTTATACAGTATTGTCTTTCTCGTTGTTTTATTTTTCATAATAATATTTTTTTGTTTTAATACTGTAAATTGTTTTTAGGCACAAGAAAGCTTGTCTAGAAGAAAGTTCTTTCGATTAATTGAGTATCTTGGTTTGAATACACGTCAGTTAAATGTACGTATTTACTTTGGTGATGGTGGTGGTTCTCGTATTACAGTACGTAACAATAACATCAATACTGGTAGTACTAGTATTATTCATCATAATGCAGAAGAATCTGGAGCATCTGACAGTACTATCAGTGATCATAATTCTGGCGGTGGTGTTATTACTACAGATTGTAAATCATTGAATTGTACTGATGATTTTAATACAGAACAACGCTATCCTGATCATAATCAGATTGGAATGATGGGAAAATTGAAAAGTAGAAGAATCCCAAAAGTGAGTTTATTTTACCATAACCTTCTATCCAACTAGTTTCTGTTCGAATATATGCATATGTCTGTGGAGCTAATATTAAGAAAAGACAGAAGTTTCAAGAAGTTGGTGTTTAGTTTCTGATCATTTCTCTAAACTATGCTCTCGTAATCTCTAAATGTAAATAGAATGATAGTATTAATTTTTGTGATTTTGAAGAAAATTGTATAGTTGACATCGAACAACTGTTTATTGGTAGTCGTCTATCAATAACAGCCTGATTGAAGTGTTATTTACTTCCTGGCAGATTTGATTAGGTTTTAATTATAGAACTAATGAGAAGTTAACTGATCACAATATGGCAAATTCAAATATTATTAAAAACAATAATGACCCAGCGGTATTATCATTAATGGCTTTATTCAATATTATATTTTTGGTAGAATATAGAATTCTCAGCACAAAGTATTTCCGTTTCTTATTTCTTAATCGTTCTTTGCGATAAATATTGAGTGATTTCCATTTAGATGTTATCAGTTCAGGAATCGATATCTGAAAAATGTTCCTTCTTTTCGACGCATATTGCCAGCCACCACGATGTCGCTGATTGTACATTTTTGTAATTTGTACAGCGAAAGGTCGTAAACACTTCATAAACGCTCCTGAATAGGTTATGCGATTAACAGACATCATGATGTGTTAAAACAAAAATCAGGCAACTTGTTGAGATATTTAGATGTCAAGAACAGGTAGCCCAAATATTCAACCAAGCCACCAATATATTGTATTGTAAATTAAATTAATTGAGGTTATTACTTAACATTGCCAATTTTTCATGAAATACTTATTATTACTATTTAATAATGTACTATTTATTTCTACTACTGTATATATGCTTTTATAAATGACTTGATTATTCCAGCTTTAGACAGAAGACCAAGTATTGGCTCATTCTATTTTCTCTGTTTTTATTTGAAAAAGTAATTTAAATAGTGGTTATGATCATTTATAATATTACCTTTCTCCTTATCTTCATTTTCCAGATTTTACTTGTACTCATTCCTCATTTAAAGTCACCTGGATTACAATTTGGTTTTACAAATTCTCTTGTAAATCTTCAATTTGATTTTCATGAATTAAATCTGAAAAGTTAGTTAATTTTAGTTTTCTGTGCAAATATATAAATATTTAGTTATTTTTAAAATAGATTTTGATTGACGAACTAATCTTAGACCACTATTGAAAACCTAGAGGCCATTCCGTCGTACTGTCAAACGCAGTCGGCAGCACGCAACCACGACTCTGACACAGAATCGAGTCCAGGAATTACGGTATCACGCGAACGCTTAAGCTCTAGACCAATGAGCCGTCATTTTGAATGACAGTTTTCCGCCTCAGGCAATGGACGATGGTTGTAACTTGGCTGGAGTGAGAAATTAGCACCGTTGAATGCTGGCTCAGTGGTCTAGAGGTTTAACGTTCACGGTGAGATGAGTTTGTGATTTAAAATCTATGAAAATTCTATGGGTTCCACAAAAGTCTATACTGATATTTATTTAGTTGCATCCGTGTGTACTTTACTGGATCTTTCTTATTGGCATGGTACTGCTGTGTTGTCATATTCAAGCTTCATCAGGTTTCGATACTCTTTATTAACTGTTTCTGACACTCAGCGGTATGTGGATATCCCCATTTCTTGAAGATTGTAATGTGTGATAGCCATTTGACTCCAGTTGAGTATAATGATGAAATTTGTATCTTTGATCACTTCATGTGTTAGTCTTTGACTTGACACATTCATATGAAGACTTTGAAATCCTAGTTTGCTAGGATATATATACATATATATGTGTATAATGGATCCGCATGAAAGCAGTGTAACAATTATTCTACAAGGCATTCAGGTAAGTAAGAAGAGGAAGACAGCTTGAGAATCTTTTATACACACAAGGATTAAGAGTTACAATTACGTCTAGAAACACAATCAGTCCATTGTGAGTTCTGAATAGTGATCAGGTACTACCCAGCCAGACGCTCAATCACTCCACACCGCAGTTGCCACCTTCGCGCCAAAACTTTTCAAAAACCGTCACACGTAGACAACTATGCATTTGAATAGATGTAAATGATCTAGGCTAAATATGACCCAGTTTATATAGTTTTAATACAATAAGTAGACATGGATATGGATGCAGATATTATGGCGAAGGTGAAATACAGTAGGTACAATAAAGTTAGTAAAATTTAAAGGATCTATAGAAAGATGAATAATTAATCATGAGAAAATATTTTAAAATACAGAATAGGTTTATAAATGATACCTGCACTACTCGGGCTTGTTCAGACAGGAGTGGATCGGATTATGGGGTGCGATAAGTACTGCTACAAGTTCACAGACAATAATAAGGTAATTTAACTGGTCGTCTGTAAGCGATAGTAACTTAATGCGTTCACGTGCTCTCTTTAAATGAAGCCTGGATATAAGTGACAAAGCCATTAGTTTCTTGTTTTGCTAAGTTTGTGCTTTAATATCGGGTATTAAAAAGTAATGATTGGTCTGCAAACATCTGGGACAACTCCTTCACTGTGCCCTTAAATTTACGATCATATTGCTGATATTCCGTTATAAAGTTTCGGTACTTTTCGTGTTTTACGGTATCAAGTTTGTATAACAATGGTTTCACCTTTAATGCATCATCTTGATTAACAAATCCAAAATAATGTAAATCTTTGAAATGTTTAAACCAAGAATCTAAAGTGATGTTGGTTAAAGGGTCAGAGAAAAATTCCAATCTATTATTGACAGGTTATTCTGCTAATGATGTATGGTGCAGGATGCAGCAGGCTGATTCAGTGTTGTAACACATGGAGACACTCTGTCACAGTCTTCCATCTGTTGTTGCAACAATAATCGCTAATCTATTTTAGTTAGCATTATTTCTTACATAATCTTTCTCACTGTCGTAAACTGCTCTTATCTGGGTGATTGCAGAGTACTATTGTAAAACTTGACGCAATTAGTGAACTATACGAAATCACTTTTCAAAACTATTTCCTTTCTGCTTTTGATCCAGTTCCGTAACTACTAAGAAGACAAAAGAAAGACCAAACCTTACCTGCAACTGCAAAGAATTAGTTGACTGGAAGAAGAACCACTGTTTATGTACATTTTTACGAAATATATTTTTTTTCCACACTGAATAAGTGATTAAATACTTTATTCTGATTGGTTGGAGAATAAGGTTATTCCAACCACCACAAAGAAGCATGAAATAAAATCTGGAATAGGAAATTTTTTACCGACTGACCTAATGATTACTTAAAATGTTGGTTTCTGCTTCAATTATTATCAAATTGTGTTGTGTTCGATGAGGCAGATGGTTTGATTACGAAGTTTCTACTGTCTTTATGGATAACATCAGCATTATCATCTCTTAAAATTCATATTTTACATTATTAGTATAGAAAACTTGTAAAGTTAAACAAACTACTAGTTTATAAGGTGTAGTTATATCAGCGAAAAACGCATCTACTAAAAACTAGTAAACACTGAATGGCTAGTTCACTCATAGCATTGAACTCCTCAATGATGGTGTAGATTCGTAACCCCTCCCAACTCTAGGATATAAATCAGGATCTTCAGGCTCCACTGATCCATAATTCGATATCAACGACGGTAATACCTATTTCAAATACTCATGAACTAATTCAACTTCACTCAATTGCTCCATGGTTATTAACGACAAATACTTGACATTTTTGTTAGTAAATGTTTAAATTATCACGTTGTTGATAAGGAAAACCGAAATTTCGACCAATCTTTGATGGCATAATTACATTCTATTTTGATTGCCCCGATATAACAACTTTATATTACATGTTTTATGGAATAAATGGATGGTGGCTAACAGTGAAATTCACTATACACAAGTTTCGTCCTATTTACGACTCGCTAACTGGATGCACTTGACTGTTGGGAATGCTTGATCCCCAAAAATCACTTGGGGAATGTCTTATTTTTGTAATTTTACTTTTGAAAATTGAATTTCTCGTTTCCGCTCTGAAATTGCCCATTTTTACCTCCAGATTGTATTTCCTACTTGAAAGGACTTTAAATGTCATTGGTGGGTTACTATTTTGTGCTTCTGGTTTCTTGTGAAATATACCTTTCCCTCATCTGAACTAGGTCTTCTCCCTCTAGTTAGCAGGGCTGGGACGTATCGGAATAGTTTAGCTTGTCTTGTCGTTATGTCTCTGATTTTTCGTTCCCTTCTTTGATTTAGATGACCTCGTAATCTCTCCAAATATGGCACTGACAAATCCCGATATTGATATCTACATTAGGACTCCAACCAAAGTATCTTTTGCCTTAAACATTATTTCTGTTGTAATTTTTTTAAAAATATGCAACGCTTCTAACTCTTTTCTCTATCATCCTTTTTTATACAGAATCATTTGATTTGTTGAATGTAACCGATTTAAATTTAACGCTATCGAATTTTCATGTTTGTTTATTGGATAAAATTCATGAATCTATTGTTAGTGGGACAGATACTTCACAGGCACCGTCATCATCATTATCCTGTTTACATAGTCTTTATTCTATTCGTTGTAATCAGTCCACTGTTATTTATTCATTAATACATGAATTGCCTACTTTAAATAATCATCATTGGGATGACCTGTTCTATGTACATGGAATCGATATTTGGGTAAGTTTTATTTTATTCGTAGTGCTGTTAATGATTGACTGAATAAGTAAAATAAACAAATATCAGGTCTTGTTCATGCAAATGTAATAAACCTTAGTGGTTAAATATAAGCTGTTAATTGGATGTGTAAACTTATCTCTAAATGTGCTTTTGTTTTACTAGTCGTGTGGTAGTATTGTGACGTGTGCTACTGATTTCAACAGATATAAGTAGCATGTATCACCAATCTAAAATGGAATGTCTAGCGGCAGAAGTTTGAGCAGATCGAAGAGAAGAGGTCGAGAACAGAGTGGTTCGTATGGAAACGAAGGAACAACAAAGTCTGAGACAATCGATAAATATTTTGCAAATGAGGTATTTACTGTATGGATCTCCGATCTTACCAAAACATTCTGTAATGTTGTGTTGAAATATATTTGGTTGTCCTCACTTGTGTTCTCGTTCACTACAGTATCATTAGCCCTTTCATTAAGTATGGCTTAAAACGAGATTGGATTGTATGTCAATGAATATACGCGTCAATTAGTCATAATGTAGAGCTTAGTACGTATAGTGCATTAACTAATATTATATCAATGTAGCGAGATAAAATTAACATGATGATGATGATCAGTGAACTAATCGAAATACTAAGATTATCAGTGGCTGTAAGAAAGACTGAATATTCGAATATTGATCGAATACGATGAGTAAGAAGAAAATGTATATGAAGAATCTAGAAGAGACCAAAGAATGAATGCATCTACACCATTAGAAGGCATTCTTTGCTACATCACCCAATCTCTTCAGTTATAGATCGTGTTTATATCTAGAGGGATATAACCAGATATTCTTCATTAATCAACATAATTCAATTTAACTGATTGTCTACTTTTTATTCTCTACTATAGAATCACAAATATCAAATTAGTTTAAAATCCACCATATTGCAAATGGAATGGCCATCATTTAAAATGAATGAATTAATTAATTATATACATGAGAATGTTTATCAGTGTTATAATAATCATGTCAAGAAATTGTCAACAAATCGATGCTCTTCAATTCAGTGTTATTTTACAGAAAATTACCTGAATAATCCAATTCATTTTGATGGATTTTTAGAGAATATCAACATTTTTTTAATAAACAGTAATAATTGTAAGTTTTTGTTGTTGTTGCTTAGTTTACTATTATCGGCATTATTTATAAGAGTTCCGATCTGTGGTTGAGGTTGATGATGGTCACGGTTGTGGAATTACGTACTAAGATGAAATAGTTAAAAAATGCTGCTTAGTTTTCAACGGTTGTCTAGCTTAAAACTAGTCTTTAAATTTAGTGTCTTATTATCTTGTTCATGGTTTACAAATACCATACATTTCTTCATTTCAGAAACCTTTCGGAGAGGGCGATTCATTTATGTTATTTTATTAGTGACGCCGAAGTTTAACAAGTTAGTGTAAGATTTATGTGGGTTTTTCAGGAGGACTAGACACTATCCATGCCTTGACACTACAACTTGAACAGCAAGGCTCAGTCCTTTGGTGCAACCATACAGGTATCTAAAACCGTAGTGAACCATTAGCATCATACGTATATATTGTCATTAAATATATTATTTGCGATCAAAAACCACATCAGTCAACTATGTGCAGTATGAAAATGTCAATTTTAACCTATTTCGCTGGCATGGCTGTTAAATTCATTATTATTAACACTAGAGATATGCATTACACTGCCCCAGTGACAATGGCCTTTGAGAAGTTTGGAAAGCAACTGCTAATGTCAGTGAGATCGATTATTCAGCAAAATCATTTTGCATATCAAATAGTCAGCAAACACTTGCGAATGTAATGCCAAATTATTTACAATATTCATAGTGAACTTTCAGTCCCATAGGAAACCTTCAGTTCTACATAACAATATAGCATATACTATACATAACATATTGGATAGAATAATAACCGATGCAGATTAATTTGAAGGAATAAGATGCAAAAACGTTTAAAACTCCTTATCTTTTGTCAGTATATGAATATCAAACTATCAACATAATCTCTATCACATCTGTGAATTTTTCATTTCTTCGTCTTTTTTTTACCTAACTTTAAGGGTACTTTTGTGTTATATTTTATTTATTCGAACACATAAATATTGGTACAGAGGGGCACCGAATACATATGCGCCACACAAGTCACTTGATTTGTGTGTGGGATGTGTTACTGCTCGGGTGTCCAGACCGAAGCAGGTGGTTTTCATAGGGGGCCACGTTCGGAGAATTCGACCTAAAGGTCTGATCCATAAGCCAGTAGAGCAACGTCAGGAGATGCAGTCCCATGGTAGCCAGTGACCAATTGGTTCATACGCCATTTGTTCCCTCAGGATCCTGAAGCTAATGTGCACCATTGGTTTGGTGTCGGGGTTTTCCAACTCCTTTGGGTGTATCGTTCGTATCTACCAACCCAGTTAAAGCTCTGGAAATTCGTTTCTGATCCACTCAATTTTGTAAACAACACCTTTACTATGAGAAGGCAGTGAGTAGGACTTCATTGTTAGTGGTTGTATGCACATGTCCATGTGAGATTAGAGCATTTCGTTAGGAAGAGCTAACTCTCTTCATCGTTGGCCGTACCAGGGCATTTGGGGGCAATAAAACGTGTGATATACGCACAAAAACGTTCAGTTCTGATCTGTTAATGAAATAGGAGAGAATTTTCAGAACTACAATTGGAAACCTGGGAGCACTGGATGGCTGTTTCGTCTTAGTATGGGAGGCGTAATATCCTGAATTGTTCGAAATTAGACATGAGCACTGTTAGATGCCGTCTCAGTGGTCTAAACATTGGGCGTTCGTGCTCGAGGCCGAGGGTCCAGGGTTCGAGTCCTGCATGTGGTTTCGTGGATGCTCAGTGCTGAATAGTCTGTCACTAGGATGAGACGGCCTCCCACTTCCAAGTTTCCAATGGTGGTCTAGCTTACATCGACTCGTAATTCCAACTGTGAAAGTACAACAATCCACAAATCCCCATACTGATGACAATTATGTGCTCATTAGCTACTAGCTTCTAATTTCAAATTCTCGGAGTTCTGGTGGGAAGCCATAAACAATGAAGTCCAATCCTGTTGGGTGTGATTCATTTATCCACCGCAAGTAAAAGATGAAGAGTTGCGCAAGACCATGAATTGGTTGAAGTGAGGCACTAACACCGTTGGATTCCGACTCATTAGTTTAAAGGTTAAGCTTCCACGTGGGAGATTGAATGTTTTTGTTTGGATCCGCTATGTTAGGTTCACGGATGTGGATGGCTGAGAAGTCCCATATTATAATGAAACGGTCATTCAGTGCTATCAGTTTTCCCACGATAGTCTAAATCAGATCAGTTTGTGATTTAAAAACTGAAATTGTAATCTCTGTAAAACCGTATACATATTCATATATGCAGATTTTTTTTTACTGTAAAAGTACTTAGCTTCCAAATAGCTGATTTTACATTCCCAGCCCTTACTTCTCTTCTAGTTACATCGGTCTTGGAAGATTGGTATTTTCTTCATTTCTGTAGCGTACGTAAATAAAAATTAATTATTGCCATCCATCAACCTTTAATACTTATATATACCATTGATTTTTTGGTGTTTTTGTTTTCAAATATAGCATTTCTTATGCTACGTGTAGATAGTCAACGCTTCATTGCACAATTTCGTTCAATTAATCCTATGTATCAACCATTGAAATTAGACAGCCTATCACAGATCACTATAACTGGAACTAAATTAGTTTACAGTTGTAATAAGACACTGGACAATAGTATGGATACTGTATCTTGCTGTTCGTCAACATCAGCGTCATTATCCTCAACTTCATCACCATGTCGTTATGCAATACTGTCTAGTTGCCATATAAAAAAAGATCTAGTTTTGTCATTACCTGAAATTCATGTTGATGTTAAATTGCCCGAACGAGTACGTTTGTTTTTCATGTGTTTAATTCTTCAGTGTCAATTGTTAAAATTATCATTAGAAATGGTTTGCATTCTGTCTTGATCATTTTTAGTTTTGAAGATATTCATCCTCGAATACATTGCCTCAATATAACGTTTATGTTATAAGGTTTCGGCATATATTTAGTTGCGACGGGCACTGATGTCGTTTCTCAGTGTGAATATCCACACTGGTATTCTTTTTGTTTTATTTCGTAAATCTGCTGTCTTTTTACTGATATGTAAAGTGTAACAAATTGGTTCAATGCAGACAAGTACACAAACGACCATTTCAATTTGTAGTCGAGTAGATAGAAACAACTGTATCAACAAATTAAAGAACATTTTTAGTGAATATGACAGACTGTGTTTAGCTGGACTACCACTGAAAACCTGAAAGGGCTTTTCTCTCTTATTATTAGATTTATTAATAGCACGGTATTACGATCTCACCGCTGATCGAACCCAAACAATTCAAGTTCTACATCATGTGCTTGATCTGTTCACACTGCTTTCCAGATCCGAATGTTTTATGTTCGATCCCCGGTGGGGTCGTGAGTGGGTACTGGTGATTAACTCCATACTAGGAAGAAAAAGCTATTTAGTCCTTGTTAGTTTTCATTGATTGTCTAGCTAAGATCAGTTCGTGATGTAAGCAATGAAAATTCTACGATCTCCTATGCACATAAGCGATGAGTTAGTTTACGACTAACCAACGAAATACAAGGCAGAAAATTACCCGATGATATGCTAGTTACTCATAAGTAAAATAGTTATACTAAACGAATTTCGGTGGCAGGGTTAGCCATCGAACTTCATATTGACACAGTGACGCAAAGTGATTGTCAGTAGAACAACTGCTTATCTTAAACTTGGTTATCTTCTATAGTATAATTTTAATGCTTTTATCTGCGTTCAATCTTGATAAATATAAGCTGTGAATTATGACCAGTGTGAGAAAATAGACGTATTTGTTTATAGTAACAATACAGGACTACTTTTTTGTCTACTCTGATTCACTCTGTTTTGAACTGTTTACGATTTTTGTCAATCAACTATTGTTTGTCACTTAATATAGTTGTCAATTTAAGGTCGGTTATTTGATAACCCATGTGTAACATATGATCTAGTTATGAGTTAATTATCCATAGGTCAAATCTTATCAATCTTCTATCATAATTTGTTCAGTGTTCCTGTGAAGAACATTCAAATTTCTTTCGTTATTATTAAACCTATTTCTTAGATTGAACTACAAATATTATAATTTTTTTCCTTTATTGTTGTATTGACGTACCTGTAATAAAACATCTTAATCAGTCTATTGAAATTTCACCAAATAATCAATCGTGTGAATTCATCTGGTCATTAGGATTTCATTTGTGCTATTATAATTTATTACATTCTTGGAAACAATTCCATAGGAAGTTGTTCAAACAGTTCAGTACTGTAGTAAGTTTTTAATTAATTTATATATTGATGATAATTTTTTTTACTAATTCTCTGAGGACGAAGACTGAATAATCGTGTATGCATACTTCTGGGGAGTCCTATATTAGGACGAAGAGATTGCCCAGTACTTCCAGGTTTTCAATGCGTATGTATGTGTCAATTCTATCGAAGCGTCTAATCACGCAATTGAGATATGGATTAAGTTCATAAAACAATAATTTGTCTAAAACGCGGTTCTTTATTAGCCAATTAAGTGTAAATTAGTTACAATCTCAACTCGTTAGGTGATTAGCGCATATGTAGGTCTAAAAAGAAAAAGGCTTTCTGCAATAGTAACAACATAATATACGATATTGTCAAGGACAGCTGATAACTGTCTAATATTGATAACAGTATAAACAAGCAGAAAATGAACCAAGAGTATACAAATATGGATACCGTTGCATTTAGATAAAGACTCAACCATTGAACAAAACTGAAAATAACTGTTACACTGGTTGAGAGAAAGTTATCATAATAATAAATACAGCAGGTATATGTAAATATCTTGGCATATTGCACGACAACATATGCGTTGAAATTTTTAGCAATATAACTGTTTACTGAATATTAATAAGTAGCATAGAACAATGCACAGCAAACGACTTGAGATAAAAAGAATGTAAACGAACTTAACAACAATTATGAAGAAATTTAACATGTAGTGTATGTTTGTTAATTAAATAATCTTCGAGAGTTAGTTAACGATGTATGTATAAGACGGAAATTTTTTTGTGTTAAAGTGGCTGAAAGAAATCTGGATTTCGCAGTATGCGTTGAGCTCTCATTTCAGGACTTTTCCGTCAGTTAATATCTACCATCTTATAGGCTGAACTGTTGCTCTTCATTTTAAACTAAGTAATGTGATGTGAAGATGATGCCGCCTTAAGTTAATTTAAAATAATTTATAAAAAAACGACAATCTATCTTCATATCTTCAGATATGTTTCTAAATGTGTTTCAATTAAGTCTTGTTGACTGCATTGTAGTCAGTTTTGTTAAACTTCAACAATACATTTAAATCAGTAATGCTGTTTACAATTACATCCTCACCGTGCTTCACTGTATTATTGTTGGGGCCGTTAGATTCCCAGAACTCACTTGGGAAAGGAACTTATTTTGTAATTTTATTTAGAAAACTTGAATTTCTTTGTTTTCGCGCCTAAGGCGCTCTTTTCACCTTCATGTCGTATTTCCCACTTTGGAGAGTCTTAAGTGCGATTGGTTCGTTGTGTCTTTTAGTATGCTATTTTTCAACTCTCCCCAAGGACGGTTTTATGCTCTGCATATTCCTTTTGATTTGTGCTTGTTTTTATCGCTCGTTTCTGGCTGTTTGCGGAATATACTTCCCCATTCCAAGTTTGGACTTCTTCCTCTAGTTAGCGGGGTTGGGACGCATCAAATAGTTAGCTTATTGGTTTTCGGTCACCGAGTATTTGTTTCCGTTCGCATACTAAGTGAACTCGTAACCGCTTCAAACTTAGCAATTATATACAGCGATGTGTTTATATGCATATATGAAAATATTAAACGCATCAAAGTAATTCTTGAGTCATTAACAACAGTGGAATAGATTACATAACAGAACATAGTAATTTACCGACAGGTTTACTGGTTGTAGCAAAAATAATAAAAGCTTCAGTCAATTTTTCATAACATGAAGTCAACCAAAAACTTGGAAAAGTACACATTGATATAACATTCATCAAAAATCATAAAAATTGCATAATAGGAAGATACTTCAAATTAGTACACAGTGAAAACTATATTTGATAAAGGGATAAAGAAAAATAAACGAAAAAGAGAATAAAAATAATCATTAAATTTGTTTGCAAATCTTAATTCGATCAAGGAAGCGAGATTGGTGTTGCAAATTTTTTACAAGTGCAAAGACTTTGTTTGTTAGCTCTAATTCCTATATAACTTTTACAATATTTGAGAGATAAGATCGATCCCCTTAAGTAAAAGTAGTAGGCATATTGTAAATTACTACAATCGATTTGTTTCTATCTACTGTATGACCGGCATTGACTAATTGTGATCGAATCTTTAGTTAAACACATTTTGGTCCCTATATCTCTTTACTCCAGTATTTCGAAATTCAAATCTCATCCAGCAATGATAAATTTAAAATCAGTACTACTGCTTATTATACCACAACCCAATAGTACACTAATATGAATGCTGTGGACATTGCCACTTATAATTGTTAATACTGATAACAAGATGGGTGAAGTTCAATCCTATTATTCAGTGGCCTATGCCAATATTTAAGTTGAAAATCTTTTTGGTTTTTTCCTTGTAATAATGGCATTTTCATCGAACTATTCACCCACCTCTATCGGTGATAACCATCCTCTGACGACGCTGGATAAAGATTTCTCTAAACGTCTCATATATATATATATATATATATATATATATATATATATATCCTTAGCTGTTTATTTCTTGTTTTCTTTATTATATTCTAGTCATTCAATAATTCATCAAATACTAGTGGCCAATTGTTAGTCCCTGCAATCAACAATACTACTGCTGCTAATACTGTTAAACTAAATAGTAGTAATGGTTGGCATTTCAGCATAAAACCAATTCAGTCATACTTTCAATTCCATTTTAAACTATTAACAAGTAAAAATTTTATCATAGTACGTGTAAAAAATACCTCATTTCAATATAATTCAAAGACAACTACTACTGACAGTAACATTAGCAGTAGTAATGGCAGCAAAAACAGAGAAGTTTTGTTAACGAATAATACTAATATGGATGATGATCACAAAAAAAATGATATCGGTTGTATTGTTTCTAGTCGATTGAAAGTGAATTGTGAGCATGCAGTGATTATGTGTGAAGATCAAACAATCGCTGTATTTCAGGTAAATAATTTTCACCAAAATGTTTGACTGTACAAATTTTCTCTACATATTATTACTATGTTTCAAACATACGTCGGTTTATATGCAACACATAATGGACCTCATCATATCATAAAATAAAAAATCATGATGACATATTAACAAAAGAAATAGTTTCTAGGCTTCGGGGGGACTGTCAATTATTAGCTGGCAACAAATTAATGACAAGTCATCTACCAAGGCTTAGTGTGTTAACTAGAAGCATATGATAAAGAGAATACATAGACATAATAATCTAGTTACTTAGTAATTACATAACGATAGTATGGTTAACAATAATTCGAAAATTAATTCCAACTTTTACAACCTTTACAATACAATATAATTATCACTTAAATAAAATCTATTACCATCTAATAGTAAATTATGATAGTTGATGCTGGTCATCGATAACTTTTCAAACTGTTATGAAGTTAATTCATCCGGGTTCAAACCTTACAAACTGTATCAGTTTCCTCAAGATGATAGATACATCTTACTAATGAATAATGGCTAAGTCAAATTTCAACTGGAAAGTTTTTCTGCTATTCAATTCATTGTGCCTAAATCTTAGACAGGATTTAAAAATTTTTCTTTTAAAACTTGAATAATAATGTAACTTATTTTATCCAGTATAGATTTATATAAACTCTATATTAAAATACACTGTTTCTATGATAACCGATGTATCTACTTACTATTCAATTGTATTTACTGTGTCGAAACCTTTTTATGAAACCTAATTATTCAATCGCGATTAATTTAATTGGAAGGTTACAAACAAACAAAAAAACATTTACATAAATTTTTATCATCCAATACTTAACAACTTCATTTGATACTCTTCTGTTTAGAATTTAAAAATACGTCAAAGACCAGAAAATATTCAACATCGTACAGAACATTTAAAAATGGGTTTACTTACTCGAGCCAATCCTTCTTGGTAAGTTCACCTCTTTCTCTCATATATATACAAAAGCAAAATACATCGTTTAAAGTTATGGCCTATGTGCATTTAGATTTGTTTGTAAAATGGCAAAATTGTTAGTAATTTAAACTGACTAAGTGTTCATTGTTAGTAAGTTAAATAAGTTTAAATCTAGCAACAAAGCAACAAATGTGGCAGAATAATTTGAATTCCTTTTATTTCAATGGTTTCTCACCAACTGCATACAACGTTACAATAATCATTAAAAATCAGTATGCACACTCTATAACGATTAAATCAGAAATGTTCTCTTCATTAAGGATTGATAAAATGGTAATAAATATGAAATAATCATCATAAAAACTGTTTAAATGGTAGGATACTTATGTGATAAATAATATGAAAATTCTAGTAGAAAAGATTGATATTCAAATTCGCGTCATAACAATAATGACAAAAAAGAATAATGGAAGGACTGGATAGAGGTTTTGTTCTATTATGAAACTTCTCAGCAGTACTCATGGACGATCTTGCACGCGGGAATGGAACCCAAAATCTTCGTTCTCGCCTCTGGAGCTTAAGTGTTTGCTCATACTAAGACAAAACGAGAGTCCAGTGCTTTTAGATTTTCAATGGTGGCCTAACTTTGATCGGCTCATGATTTTAGTGAAACCCAACAATTTCCACAACCCCATATTGGAAATAAAAGAATTAATCCCAAATTTAAAAAATGAGTAAAATTCATGTAAATCTCAAGACATTTCTTAAATAAAGAAAATAAATTAATTCCTTTTAAAATTTGGTAATATAAGTCACCGTCGTAAAGCAAGAGTGACAACATTGTCTTTTAGAATTCATTAATCTGACGGCGATTACCTTGTTTAAACGCAATAACTTCGTCAATGTTTATCTGTTAATAATTTTGAACGACTTTGAATAAGTTTATAGGTTAAATAAAATTGCATTGAATACACGAACTGATCTCAGTTGAATAATCTTTATAACCCCATATTGGAAGTTTAAGTAACATTGTAAAATAATCAAAATAAGAGATTGTTAAGCTGTCACATTCGTATTTATAGTTGTTTGGTAAATATTAAGGTCTATAGAACGATAGAACATATCACTCCTTAAAGTGATTCGAAATTTCAAATATCGAAAAAAGATTGTGTAATGATCAAGTGTTTAGAGTAGATTAGGAGAATGTAAATAATTTACGGGTCAAAAGTATAAGACGGACAATTGTATACCTAACGAAAAATGAAGAAAAAATAAATGTAGTAATAGCAACTGAATTATCAGTATGAAAAATTGATAGAGACTAATAATAAATGATTACGGCTTAAAAAGTAATAATTGAAAGAAAAAAACAAAACAAAAACGTACTTGAGAAGAGAACTAGGGTCAAGAAACGATGAGCGGTTGAATGTATCGCTTTTGCATGCAATTTTCGTACTTGGATTGGTGGATCATCAACATTTCAGCAGTGTATAAATTTTGGATTTGACCTCTCTTTGATTCAATTCTTTTGACTGAATGGGCACTTTCCTTGGAGAAACATGCCCAGAGTTGGTCAGGCGTTCCTGTATTGAGCTAGTAACAGCTTTGGATTTCCTAATTATAAAAGCCATATCGAGTAATATTCTGAGACGCGTTTGGAAAATGTGTACACTTTGTGTGGTCAATGTAACCTGGCTCACAAGAGCATTTACATTTATAGCTGGAAATTGATGTTGTCTGAAGCGGAAGCTTATCCTTATCTCATTTAGACACGATTTTCATAAAAAGAGGACGAAATTGTAGAAATAGTGATCAGAATAAATGTGCATAACATGAGATTGAAGAGATAATTATATTATAGTTTCAAACGAAATCGATATTTGATGAATAGTCACGTAATATTTAGAAAAGTATGAATCAGGTAAAAATTAGTAAATAGGGATGAGTGCTATCCTCATATCATCAAATTGATTGTTGACCGTTTAGGTCAGAAGTTGGACAAGGCAAAAGGAACGGTATGGTATATTTCTTCGGGGTGCATATCTCTGACTTATCGATCCGTAAAGCTATTGCTTTAGCCGCTTGAAGGATTCTCAGTCTGACGGATCTGGACAGGTCGCTATTAGCACAATGTATCATTGTGAATGGTTGATCCATGTTGGCTGTATCGCACAACACATTCACTCACTCGGTGATACAAGAAGAATGTTTCGAAGCCATTTATAGTCAAATTCTAGTAACCTATAAATACACTTCATTTTAAGACGTAAGATTTACATCCATGAAGCGAATCGCTGCTCGGTATACTCATCATTTGGTTGGTAGACGGGTGTCTAGCCTAGTCTACAAATGACATTTTCGGAATTCGTGCTAAGACTTCATCAAACACAAACTCAATCACTACCTAGTTTAACCCTTCTACATTAAACTCCTGACAGCTGTTTTATGTTTGTGTACTCGATTCTGAAGAGTCTTGTCCTGGGATAAAAAAATCTGTTCGGTTCTCCTCTAATATTCCCTAGTTATTCTTAATTTCTTACAAATTTTAACTTCTCTTAGTCTTTTTTTTTCATTTGCAAATTATATTACTTGCGATTACCTTAATTACCTTTTGGAAACAAAGCACTTTTTTAAAAATCTTTCTCATTGTTTTCTTCCATTTCCTTTTTCGCACAGGGAATTTTATATGGATCTATTTTACGTTACATTTCCATATCGATATATATTTCGTGATATTTATCAAGAGGTTGGTTGGCCTATTGGTTTGTTTGGATTGAGAAGTTTATTTGGATATGTTTATAATAATAATTACTATTTGTAAAGTTTTATATTTCACTATTGTTGATTGGAAAGTACTGTGATCGGTCATTTTCCGTTAACATATGTACCTCCCAATGGAATCTGTGCAAAGTAAGGTGAACATTCCCACAATTGAAGAATAACTGGCATTTAAATCCACTATCACACATGGTCAAAGTTAGACTTTTCTACTCCAAAGTCAAAGTAGTTCTATTATACGTAGATGAATGTTTGAGAACTACCACTACCGTCATCGAATAGGTATAGGAATCTATAAGTGGTTATCTACGCAAGAAACTTCAGATCTGTTGTCTGTATACAATTTGAGACAATAGAGCGGTTGCTTTGGTTTTCCGTTTACTCACAATCATTTTTATTAAAATTAGATCATGGTTAGAAGTGAACTCCTATTTATGTCTCCTTAGGTAGATATGCTTTCATACGGCAGTGTTAATGTTTAGACAGATAGTGAAACCTAATTACTGTTTGTTTCGCATCCCAACAAATTACCCACTAGGCTACTGGCTAACGGTACTTAGTGGATAACCCATTGATATTGAAGCGAAAGGTACTGGATTCGAATCTCTGTGTGAATATCTCACATCAGGATGCAGATACATTCAACCGACGAGTCTCAAATACGATAGAATGCACATCCTTTATTTCATTGATAGCTAACACCCAACTGCAACATTATTATTTTCGTTGTGAATGGATACATTGATTAAGCAGTATTATTTATTTCATCAAGCATTTCTCAGTTTTATCATTATTCAGAAGTTAGTTTATTTCATAGTTATCTTTACTTTGTACCCAGTTGATGCGTTAAAATGATACAAACATAATGAATAGTCACAAACATAAATCAAAATTAGTTGCTACCTGTAATTATTACCATTATTATTATTATTATTATTATTATTATTATTATTATTATTATTATTATTATTATTATTATTATTATTATCCCAGCTCAATTCTCCTGCTTATCAAAACACTCATATGATGATTTCACATCTATGCCTGGTTCCTTCTGAACATGTTCTACTATCAATGTGTTCACATTCTTCAGCATGTTACTTCAGAGACGAAATATATTGTAAACTTGTTTAACGCTTACAGATAGTATTAGTAAACTTGGAATTACGGAACTGTCTCCTACTTGAAGTCATAATTGATATCTTTGTTTTTTAATCGTTAAACACTTGAATGATTGTATTTTTGTATTCTCACACTTCGTGTTGCATAAACTTTTATTATACCTTGTATCTTCCCTATGTTACTGTTAATTTATTACACACGTTAAACAACATTGAGAAACTTTCGAGTTAAAAGCGAAAGTAGTCAGTCATATAAACAGCCAAAATTTATTAGGGAAATTTTTCTGAAAAAGACTTCTTAACACATCAAAACTACCGTTAAGTAATAAACACCTAGATTAATTTATGTTTCCTTACTAATATAGTTGTTAGTTATTAATTGTAATTAACTTTTATTGGGATTATTTCCTCTAATTTATATCTTAGGCATCATGTGTCAGGAAGTTCTTACTTAAACTACACTCTGGTAATATTACATATTTTCATGTAAACGATTACATTTTTGATCAATCTTCGCCAACATTTATACAATCATCACCATCGAAGTTTGAAATATCTTCATCGTCAACTGCTCGAAAAGATTTTATACAACCGTCAACATCATATGTAAAACAGGATAGGATTATTCATATCAAAGTATGTCAATATATGTGCGAATGTCGTTTTCAACTGAAGTTTAATTTTTTTTCATGGGTATTTTTGCATTCTTTGATAAAGAACCTTTTCTATTTTAATTTCTGTAAACTGAGTTATTCAAAATAGTTCAATAAGTCTGACCATATATATAGAATCAGGTAAATGTCTTAAGATTGTGACTAAAGATGTTATCCTCCAGAAAATGCTTAATATACACCATTTTTAGGGAGAATTTTGATTATTTATATTAAGGTATGTGATATACTGTATTTGAAAGGTGATTGAAGAAGTTCATAGTTTACAGTATGGTTTGATGTTAGTAAGACAACCACGAATTATGAGCATCATCAGAGTTGTTCCGCAACACTGCACCGAGGGTTGAACCTGTAATCTTCGGGTCTGAAGGAGAGTTCTTTTGGACTATTAAGTCAATGTCCAGTTCGGATTTGGACTGTTTATCCAAACAACTACATTTTACTCTATGTATCTATCACACCATCAACATACACATAGAAACGTCGACTCTACAAATTTTACACTTCACACATCAAGTAGCATACTCACAAACACACAGAGTAATATTTCGCACTCACTCACTTTGACTTAATACGACATGGCATTGACTTTTGGACTGAAGTAAAACTTCTCCCTTGTTCTTGTATACTGTGACAGTGTATTGACTTTCTCTGGGATTTTACTTAGACCAACCCCATTTGGGTAACGGTGGTAATAAAAGCCAGGTTCAAATTAAGTTGGATAGGTTTATTTCGTACAATTATTTACTCAGACAAACTATAAGATGAAAAGCAGAGAAAGCAGATGTGTCAAAAAGATTCTATAAAACGCTTCCATATTTATAATCAAACAGGAAAACAAGATATTTGTCGACAAGATTATATGATGAACACACATATATATTTACGTTCATAGAAAAACAAAAGCGAATAACTGATAGGGTCTGTCCAAAAGTTAGAATACTCCACGTAGTTGTGAAGTATTAAGTACTACAATACTGTTTAAACTTGTGTTTATTTGATTAACTTAATGACTCTGATGAAGCCACTTACATTGAGTTACAAAACGTCAGAAATTCGGATTCTATACTTATTGTGGCCTATCACTAATGTCTTGTTACGCTTAAATACTAACATTCTGTTCAATGTTTATTTATTTATTTTCTATTAATTTATTTTAAAAACTATCAACTTTAAACCGCTTAGCCCAATAATACTTACAGTTTTGTTTTGTTTCATTTCATTTGTTTTCTATTTCTAAATAGAAATTCATTATTGAAATTAAAGATGATCCATTCGAATGTAAATTAAACGATATTCATACTGTAAGTTTTAAGAAATAATTTTAGGTATATCATCCATATTCATTTTATTTATTCAAACACATAAATATTAGTAAAACGGACACCAAAATATCTTTGCAACACACAATAATAAAATGAGATTGTGAAAAGATTCAAGAAAAGAAGATAACTTCAATGAAAAACAGAACATAACTGAATAGAAATTACTGTATGGAAGTGAAAGTAATAAACATAATAGCAAGAGAAGCAGTTCAATTAAGAAAAGTACAACGAAGAAGGATTATTTCCGTTGAGTCGGTTTCCAGAGAACTTCAACGGAGCCTCCAAAGGCCCAAAAGGAGCCGAAGAGTCCTAGCGAGTCAGAGTATGATGGAACATTCTAGAATTCCAACTTGGCGTGCTACTATTGGTCGGTAGCATAATATGTCGTTAACCGATTGGCTGAAATATGATGTTGATTTAACAGACGCCAACATCTATAAATACCCATGATTTTCTGTACAAAAATGAACCTTGGGATAAAGTATTTTCTCTCATACTTGCGTCTTCTCTCTGGTGTTCAAGTCGCTGTGTAGTTCTAGTCTGCGGGTTACCGGAATAGCTTTGGAAAGCGAATATAACGTTCGATCGACAAGACTTATCAATTTCAGTGAAAGATGTTTCTCTCACTTTACGAAGAAAGTAGAAGGAAATTACAACAGGACCGCCAGTAAATTCTTTCTGAGATACGTCTGATAGTACCTCTCTAGGTAGGTCTTTCAAGTTTGTGAAACCAGTTGAACTATTGTTTATGTATCGGAACACTTGTCTTATACAACTTCTGTTCAAAGACACAAAGGTCGATTTCAGATCAACCTTATGAATTGTTTCAACTATGTGTTTAACGATAGATGTTTGTCGTTTGCTTTGATTGAGTCATTTGATTTATTTCTATAGCCATTTTGGTACATGTTCAGAGACCCTGACATATTTATTACGACTACTTCTATTTTTTATGCATGGTCACACACATATGTAAACTCATAAACACAAGGTGACGTGATACAATCTCTTACATGCCGTTTCGCTTTCATTGAATTATACACTCTGAATTTTCAACGACAATTAACCACTGAGTACATTAATTGATCTAAGCCTTTCCTTCAGCATAAGTCTATTAACTTATAGAATTGTGGGATATTATCGGCATACTGTTTCGGTGCCAGAAGTTTGATGCATGTCTTTTTGTATTTTTTTAACTTTCTCTTGTAATTTTTTCCCCTTACTGTAGATTTTGTTGGATGAATTCGCTATTCACGAGAAACGTGTAAATACACTACGTGAACAGTTTAACAGAGCGATTCATTCAGGCATACGTGTTACCGGTTAGTGATGGTTTTTTTAAAGAATATGTTATTTTTTCCCTTTTTTTCTCATTTTTATGTCCGTCTATCGATCTATGTATGATAATAGTACTACTATCTCCGACAAAAGTCAGTTACTTATAATCAACACTGCAAGTATCAATCCAAAAATAATCATTTTTCATGTCCGACATTTCTGATTTTTCTAACTGCCCGTTTACTGTTTAGTCACTAACGCACCTGCTTCTTGGATAGTTACCTTCACTCCCACCCCTGAAAGACATCAGAAAAGTATCAATGACTTTTTCTTTTCTTCATCTTTTGGGGTGGGAATTACTTCTCATTACGTTTCATCCTCACGAAGGTTCGGGTTAGGTTGTTTCAGGAGTTACTGAAAATGTATTACAAATTTCACGTAGTGTATAAACATTGTATTAGGTCTTGGGTTTACTTGTTGTGCTGTATTTCAATATATATGGCTTGAGTCCACGAAATAACACAAAAGATACACAACTGTAAAAAAACATTTAAGATGAGTTTAATGTTAAGTTCGCTAATTGATTACGGTTAATAGGGGATTCAACTTCGACACTCGAACACGTTGAATACACAGTCGCGAATTGAAAAGACCGAAGAAGGCAGGAAAATTGTTTACTAAAGCTATTGTCAAAAATGTACAGAAAAATACATAAGTCCCAAATTACTCGACACTTATGTTTTCAAAAGTCCACCTTCGTTCATTTAATATCACATCGTGTTCATCGCGATGATAAACCACTCAGTTTATTGATAATACTGAAACTTAACACATAGGAGTCGATCAGCACTAAAAACTGTGTTTGTTTAAGCTTAAATAGCTTATCAATAACGTTTCTGACAGTGAAATAGGTTTAAATTCTGTAGGGAACATCAGTTCCTCAAGAATTATTTGACTCTAAGTTGAACACATCAAATTATCGTTTCTCTCCACAGCATCTTTGCTACGTTTGAAGCTATTACGAGTCCACTTTGTATGCAAACGGAACAAAGACTTGTAACCGAAGACCAATAAGCTAGATATTCTAATGCGTCCCAGCCCAGCTAACTAGAGGAAGAAGTCCAAGCATGGGACGGGAAAGTATATTCCATAAGCCAGAAGCATGGGTGAATAGTAACAGACACAAATCAAACGTATATATACAGCATATAACTGTCCTTAGGAAGCGTAGCAAAAATATCATACTAAAAATACACAACAGACGAATAGCGTTGAAGATTCTCTCAAGTGGAAAATACGACATGAAGGTGAAAAGTTCTCTTTTGGAGCGAAAACAAGGAAATTTAAATTTCCAAAATAAAATAATAAAATTAAGGCATTTATCAAGTGAGTTCTGGGGATCTATTATCTCCAACATCTCCCTCTTTTAATAACTTAGGTTTCTGGGGTCCACCTGCAGTTTAACTGTTTGTCGCCGTTTTCGGATTGACCACCTTCTGGGTCGTAGATCGACCTGTCAATGTGCTTCTTCCTGTGTCAGGACTGCGGGTAGACTAAAGGTATCTAATTGGATGTCAAGAGGGAGATTCCCTTCTGTCGATGGGCAAACTGGGGCTAACCGCTTGCGTAGCTGGTCCTGATGTCGAGTCCACCTGTCTCTTCCTACCTCTACCTCGTACATGACATGGCCTAATTTTCCGACCACATGTGCTTCAGTCCAGGGACCATGGTTTGGTCTTTAGTCCCGAGCGAAAACCGGAAATTTAAACTCGTATGTTGGCAGCTTTTGTGACTTGGTTGGTGATGGCGATGGTGTGGTTTTCGGAAGCATCATATTGTGAACCGTCCTCAATTTTCTTCCCTTGAGGATTTCTGCTGGGGACTTCTGCTCGGGTAATACATCACTAACTGTCTTTCTGTAAACGAATAAAAAGTTTTATGGTGTTTCCACTGGCGTCCCCTCCCCTTTCAACTTGATTAGAGTTCTCTTAAATGTATCCACAAATCTCTCTGCTTGGCCGTTCGATTGCAGGTGGTAGGGTGGGAAGCGGAGATGCTTAATGGATAACCGTTGGCAGAAATCTTGGAACTGCGTTGAGGTGAACTGAAAACTGTTATCTGATCCAATTACATCCGGTAGCCCGTTGCAAGAGAACATCTCCGACAAGAGTTGTATCGTTTTGGTAGTCCTCCGTGGCATAATGGGGACAATTTCTGGCAATTTTGTAAAGGGGTCAACCATGACTAGATAGGTAGTCCCATTGATTGGACCAGCGAAATCGACATGTATTCTGAATTAGGGATACCCGGGCCGTGGCCGCGGGACCAGCGTCACTTTCGCATTACATTTCGCTGCTTGCTGACATTGCGAGCATTTGCCTACTAAATCCATGATGTGTTGGTCCATGAGAGGCCAATAAGCATAGCTTCTGGCGATGGATTTCATTAGTTTTATACCAGGATGACCAGTGTGGAACAGCTTTAGCGTCGTAGTACAGCTACCGTGCGTTCTTCATGCTGTTCTAACGATGTAGCAACAATTAAGATATCGTCGAGATAAGTCGCGACCCCCGGGATACCCGATAGAATGGTATCCATTAGTTGCTGAAAAATAGATGGAGCTGTCTTAACACCAAATGGTAGGCGATTGTACTGAAACAAGCCACGATGAGTATTTATGGTAAGTAACTCTCTCGAATCTTCATCCACTTCCACTTGTAGATAGGCACCAGCTAGATCCAGCTTTGCAAAGAACTTCCCTCCATTTAGCATTGTGAACAAATCCGCAGTGACTGGCTGTGGGTAATGATGCTGTTCGAGAGCTGCGTTTAGACCTGCGAAAAATCTGCGCAACCTTGATTTTCCTATGTTCAATCACTGATACGTTCTTGGATGTACACTTTTGGCAAACTCTATAATAAGACGAAATGGCTATCAAGTACTCACTAATTTTCAATGGCTGTATAAATAATTTATAAGATCAGTCCGTATATTGAACTATAAAACTCATATCCCTTCATAAACCATTTTGATATCGTTGTTATGTTTTTCATTCAATACAACAAAACAGATGAAGAACGTCAAGCATGTTTCAATCGTATAGAAATACAGCGTGCTCAAGATTACCGTAATCGTTTACATCGTTTCTATCGTGATTATGCTTTTTCCGATGAATTATTCACATTTACTATGGATAATCTAAAAATCAAAGCATTAGCTGATGAAAGTATTACACATGGTGAACAAGTCGTAGCACAAATGAAAATTATGGATAGTGACAGGTAGGTTAATATATATATATATATATATATATATATATATATATATTTAAGTCGTTTCGATAAGTAATAGTTATACAAGTTAATGGATATCATTGGGTAGTATAGGTTTATGCATAAAGAGTGGAAATAAAATATAAATGGTAATGCTAGGTCGAAAAATTATCACGCGGCATATTGAATAGTTGTGAAAGTTAAGCTACTAATTTTGTTCCTGAAATTCTGGGGAAAAAAAACTTTCAGAATATGGAAATAATGAGTAGAGGGCAGAAAAAGATATTTTCAGGTTAATCATCAGTTTGAGTGATACACTCAATGAACATTAAAATGATGCATAAAAACTTACCATTTCTTTAACACATTAGTCTTGGCTCAATACAACAACATGATAAGATAAATAGTCGGGATTCTCTAATAACCAGTACGCGTTTTCAGTTCCTTCGTATTCTCTAGACCAACTTTGAAGTGTAGTATGTGCGCGAACGCAAGTTATGTATACCTAGGTTCTTTTAAATTCAAATTATCTATTCGTTTTCTGACTTAAACAATTTATTTTGCTCCTTGCCCTGACCCTCTCCCATCTTCTGTCTTCGTTTGTAAGTCCATGGCCAAATCTTACTGAACAAGATTTTTCTACTTTATGGTGTCGTATTATTACAATGAATGTTGAACGATGGCGCTTTCATCTACGTGATTATCCTAAACCATGTTTGAATATAACCGATCTTTTTCTATGGGGTAAATTAGTTGTAGCTGAACAGTTGGCTGATAGTAAAGGTGAGTGGTGCTTTTGTTATTTTATTTGTGTTTGTGTAAATAAATTTAATCAATTCAGTCGGTTAGTCATAGACGCCATTGAACATGACTCTGATTGATAAGGCTAATTTACATAGAATAAAAGTCAAAGAGGCTTGTTTCGATCTTGGTCATCTTTGGCGCCTTTATGATGTCAGTGTGTTTGTAAAATGTCGGAAACACAACGCATAGGTGAGATCAGTTTTGCTGTATACTTTCCGGACCTGGGCTCTCCGGGTTGAGGATGTTAGATGGCCTTTTGTGTTGGATCATCGTCGTCTCGAGGTGTTACTGATGTTCAGTGGCGACACTATGTTAGAAATGCAGAGGTTTAGTACCGTGTGTTCGGACAGCGGTGATGATTCAGTTGGTATCACTATCTTGAAACATCGACTTTTGTGGCTTGGACATGTCTTGCGAATGTCATGATAGTTCAGGTTCTTTAGTTTCAGCAAACAGCTATTTTGGCTAACATTTAGCGTCAGGACAGTAAATGGCTAGACATATTATTTTACATTGTCTGTTCAATGAAATGAGATGAACTTACGGTCATCGAAAACTGTTTTACCGAATTCACAGTAAATCAAGATTATTATTATCATCGTCGTAATACTCATGTTTGATTATGCTTGTTTTGTCCCAAAAAACATCCTTGGAGTTTGTTAAAAACTAGTTTCTGCACTTGTTTCGTCTTGTCACGTTTTATCGTGCTTGTATTATCCAAGCGCTACCCTCATGATGACCACAATGGATTTCAAATATCAAAGTATCCTGCCAAGGATAATGTAGCTTGATGACTGAATCACGATTCAATGACCGGCATAAAGTTACTGCTGAATATGTTAACATATTGTCGCCTACTTCCTAATCAATAAAATATACTCATAGAAGAACTAAAACTTTCATGTGTGACCTTCTGAATCAAGAAAATCTACCGAAGTCAAACTGGTTTAAGGTGATGGACCTATTTCATGTATTTGTTGGATAGACTATGCCCCACCCATCTCAACTAATAACTTTTTTATGTACAATCCTGTAGGAATCAATCTCGCGTCATTTAGTTCCATATTCTGAGATGCTGGTACAGGCAGGATCAGTTTCCTGAAAATTACAGTTTTACACCTTACTGATATCATGTGTCAACTAGAACGAAATCTTGTCAATTATTTCCTCTTTTGATTGGTTTTCATTGCTTTACAGGTCAGCGTAAAGTTCCTATTGAACCTGGTTATCCGTGGCCAAATTATACACTGATTCGATCCAGTTCACCAACTAAATTCTATTATGATTTAAATGCAGGTAAATAACCGTTTGTCAAGAATTAAATTGATTGTTTTCTTTTTAATTAAAAATAATGTTTGGAAGTTAGTTACAAATGGTTAGATTATCTGAAGAGTATTGAATCAGTAAAAACCAGAACGGACCATTAAAAAGTTTTATCCTTTTTTGTTTTTTGTTCAGAATTATTCGATCTTTGTATAATTACTATGATATGCAATACAACTACTTCATATCTCATAATGATTGTGATACCTACGTATCGTAGTTCATAATGGTTGTATTTGGTAAAGCTGAATTATCAGTCATAAGTCCACAACTCCATTATTTAATAAGTCATATGATTTTCATGATTCTCGAAAGTTTTGAATTTGATCTTATGTGAAACTGACACGGTAAGCCGATCAGAAGTAGCCAAGTCAGAAGGTCAGTTTATAGCAATCTGAAGTGACATAAAGGACAGGTGCATTTCATCGGCTAAGAAATAGATTGATATTTTATGGGTTATATATATCAATCTTCCACAGTAAAAACTTTATTTCCGAACGCTCGTACTTCATCGAATGTATAGTTTTTGATATACTTAGAATGGCAGTGAGTAACTGAAAAATAAATTGTATTTACTTGGGATAACACCTGAGCTGCAATGCTTCAATATGTACATTTATATTAGTATAGGGTTTTGTAGAGATCATATAATTTTCACAGTATTTAATTTATGAATTAATCTTATCTAAACTACCATTGGAAACTTAGAAAGAAGCATTGGACAGCCATTTCTTCCTGATATGTGACTGGTCATAGTGCACATCCATGACAATCGAAAATGGTTGAGCAGTATCCTGAATCCATTAAAGTTGAACATTAACACCGTTGCGCTCCAGTTTCAATAACCTAGAGGTTGAGCGTTTGCGAGTAAGACTGAAGGTCTCGGGTTCGATTTCCGGATGAAGGTCATGAGTGTGAACTGCTGAGTGGTCCCATATTAAGGCCAAAATATCTGTTCTGTACTTCTGGGTTTTCGTTGGTTGTCTATCTCAGATTAGCTCATGATTTATTGTGAAATATATATTGCTTTAACATTTTCCTATCTTTCCTAACAGATGTAAAATCTTTTCATATATGTTATGGTGCTAATTGGGAACCAACTGTATCATGGTTTAATCAACGTTTAGATGATATTAAACCATTAACAAAAGACAAATCTTATCCACCATTAGGTTGGTGGGATAAAATACGTTTACTATTTCATGGTCATTTGTTATTTGCTGTTGATACAATGCATTGGTCATATTCAACAAGTTTAAGTCCATATAATACAACGGAATTTTTCACATGGCAATGGAATCGTACTGTTGTGCATTGGGAAAATGGTATAATGTTTAATTGTGTATTATCTAAATATGTATTCTATTTTAAAATTATTTATCTGTTTTTTATTCATCGTAAATGATTGAGAACCGAATAGTGAATGAAGTAGTAATCAATATTTTACTTCAGTGGTCGATAACTTAAAAAATTTCGATAGAACTAACTAGACGATCATGATGGTCTTAAACTGCCCTTGGAGTCGACTAATCGTAATGGAGATAACAATAGTTGAATTTATGTACACTTTTTAAAACAGAATAACAGATAACCTGCTGCCAAATACCATTTCTTTTTTATAGGATTTCATATTTTTGCTAATTTGTTTGGTGATAACGATCGTAGATCCCTTGCAGAATGCTGTCAACTAAAGCATCTTATATATATATATATATATATATATATATATATATATATATATATATATATATATATATATATAGTCATGGTGTGTGAAGTATCAAGGACAGAATTATTATAGGTATGAGTGTTAGGCTTAGGACAATAAAGTTAAAGTATTATCATATCAAAGTTATATTCTTTGCAATGTCACCATCTTTTTGTAATGCATCATTCCCTTATAAAAGCTACAGTCTGATTGGCTGATCTCAAGAGCTCTTAAGATAGCTCAATATCGATGGTATAGATTAGTTATGCCGAAATTGTCGAAAAAAAAACAACTTGTTCTGTTATTGAACTAATCAGCACAAAATGTTTGATCACCTTTTTTTAAACCATACTTTTGTATTATTCAATAACGTGTTCAAAACACAACCGTTATCTTTTTTTATCTAAAATAGTTGGTTCTTTACAACTATAGACTTATACATTAGATAATGTTTTTCCTTTGATTTTTTATAAATTTCTTTATACATCCAATGATATTTCATAGGTGTTATAAGAATTGATGGTGATTTAGATTTGGTCTATCAAACTGCATCAAAATATGATGGATTATGTCGATTATTTCATATACCACATTTAGAAATGACGTAAGTCTGTGTTTATTTGTTCTAATCTAGTATTTTGTTCAATATAGTTATCTGATTATAGACTGATGTCACCTCTGTTATGTATGTTTGATGGTTCTGTTATATTTACAATCCCATTGCTCATACTTGAAAACTGGAATCAATGTAATTCTTGCGATGAATAGTAAAAGTAAAGGACTGGTATAAATAGGGAGTTTTATTGATTCTTTCAAAACGCACATCGTTTTTAAATAAATACATTCATTTATATTCTGATTTTACACACACACACATGATGATGATGATCATTTTAATAAACATCACATCAACGAAAATATACACATTTGCAAGTTCATACAGAAATTGTGCATAGAGTATAATTGTCACATTTAACGAGAGGATCACATCTTTCATACTCAATGAAATTTACACTTAGCTAATACAAACTATATTGATCTGAAGTAGTATTACACAGTAGAACATATAACCATTGTTGTCCTGATCAAAATGTAACATTGAGAATAAAGCGGTTATCAAAATGTTGTATTACGAATAGAACTTATGTCATATAATGTTACATCAATTTAGAAAACGTTTAAACTCCTTCTTATTCCAACGTATCAATAATATATACGCACATATGAATGAATTGTAGATGTTACAAAAATTAAAATCATTCTAATTAATTGTGTATATACACCAAACTTACAATTAATATTGATCACTGAATAGTAAGAACAGTGTGATGTTTTGTCTAATTCTTTAGTGTAGATTAAATTCTATCGACCAATTTACAGTATGGTCCCTCATCTAAGTGACTTAACATTACGTTCACTATATTTTGATGTAAGGTAGTTGAAGATAGTCAACAGGAAACATTACATTTTTGTCAACATGATTTACCTGGAGTCTTAAAAAAACTAATGCTTCCTTTGGAATTTGAACTTCTAATTCCTTGCTGAGTACTGTCAACTACCTATCTTTGAGACTTAAATACCAATATTATGGTCACATCAGTACTAATATTAATAGTAAGTTTAACATTTGGGCACTTTCGATCGGTGAGTCACGAATTTCAGCCTTGTGTCACCTAAAGAGATTTCAACAGTCAAATTATTATATTTTAGCCCCCCCCCCCACCTAATATTATGTATGGTTTGTAATATAAAGCATAAACGTTTTTGTTCCGAATTGTATCTTCTTTATGTGGACCTCAACCAGGTGACTTCATGGTTCATTGAGGTTGTTAGTATCTTCATTAATTGAGGCCACGTTTTGGTTTGGAATGTCCTCAACTCTTCCAACCTACCTTTAATACACCAGACAACATTGTCCTTGGTAGTTAGGCAATAGTATAGCATACGTGTAATACACACCTTAACTACCTCAATTAATCAACATCCACTATTTCATCGAGCGATTCGCTAACATATTGCAAATAATGTAAATCATTGATCTAAGATACTAAGTATGGAAAAATGTACGTTTTTGTGGTATTAATGTACCTTAGCAGTTCGACTTGTCTGTTACCCCGGCGAAATCAATCAGACTGTCTCACCCTCCATGACCCTTGACGACTGATCCACCTTACGAGGCGGAAGTCCTCAAGGAACTCCAACTCCTGAAGCGCCACAAATTACCAGTCCCATATGACTTACATCCGGCTTTTCTTAAAGATAGTGGTGACTTTCTCGTTACGGAACTGATTGAGTTGTTTACAAAGGTCTGGCAATTAGAGAGTGTTTCAAATTCGTGGACTGAGTCAATGGTTGTCTCTGTCCTTAAAAGGGATTCACGTCGTTTTTATAACAAATATCGCGGGATAAATCTACTTTCACTCGCATCCAAACTATAGGCCTCCGTCATATTTTCGTCAAAATGTGCCAATTTGTTGTGATAACTTGATCTAATGCATTTTATGTGACAGATTCTCGATTGACTGCCTTACTGATAAGAAATCCTACTTCACTTAGATTTCGTAGTTTCTTAATCCTTTTAGTGAATAAAAATTGAAACTTAATTTTTTAATTGGTATGTAAATTAATTGTTTGCAGTTATTTCTTAACTTACATTTTTCATTTATACTACTTTTATACAGAGTGAAATTAGACTGGTTGTCATTACGTGATCCAAATGATCACCACTCAGTGAAATATTGTTGTACGGACTGTCTAACAACAAAGGAACAAACTCAGGTTTGTTTATTAACATTTTTTGTTTCTAAAATCCAGATAACAATAATTGGCGATATAAAGTCGATATAAATCTTTGGAGAAATTTGCTATTTTGTTGCCGTTAGCTTAATCACGTGATTAGACTTATACTTATTAATTCAACCATTCGATAGAGTAGTAGAGATGTGTACTGTATTGTTCAGAACGAAAATTATCAATATCGAGATACAAAAGAAAGAAATATCTATTATAGGATGAGTATTTACTTATACGTGGTGTATCAGGCATATCAGTCATTCGATAATAGACCAATTAGATTTAAAATAGCGCTTGCTGTATAACTGCGCTAATTTCAAAACATAGTGTCGAACAGAAAAAGTGGAAAGGATTTGTAGCACATGTGAAATTTTGTTCCCTGAGTTGGACAGTTTAATCGTAGAGCTTTCATTGTTCCAACTGAGAGAAGCACTAAATCGAACAACGTGGGTGCTCTATTCACCTTTTTCTTCATGAACATCATCTAGGTACCAAACTTCATTATCTGTCTTTGCTTATATCAGTCCACGTGGACGATTACGAACACGCGTACAATTAGACAGATTTTGAATAAATAGAATGATGCGAACATTAGATGATTTTTAGAAGCTTGGCACTCAGATAAATCAGCAATCAACAAAAACAAAGGAATCGATCCAATATGTCAACCAAGCAGAAAAATCATGGACGAATATAGGACCACGAATCAAATCAAAGGGATTTGCAATCATGATGAAGATGCAGATAATGACAGATTAGAGGTCAACACTAACCAATCAAGATCGAGGTCGACAGGACAAGCCGTGAAGAAATCCGAATATCTCACTTCTGTCTGAAGCTTGTTTTAATGATGTTGTTCGGAAGAACAGTAAAAGCTCCACGTTTAAACCATTCGGTTCAGAAAACGAAACATCAATGAAACAACGGTAAAAAATACCTTGTACATTATTAAGAACCAAATATAACCTGCTGATATTCACTTAAGACTCTAAACTGATTAACAAACGAAGATGAGAAATTAAAGACCACAAATTAGTAAAGCTGCAAAGCTAATAAAAAATTCACATGGTTTTGTTCTTCAGATCTTCCCATTAATGTTCTAGACTACAAGTGATCAGTGTGTTATTGGCATATGTGCATGCTTTGCGGATTGCTTCGATATCACCATTAAGCCACAAGCATTTTAAACATAGATGAGTAGTGGCTAGCAGTGGAATCTAAGATGCATGTTTCATCCTATTCGGTACTTGTCAGCTAGATGTAATTGCATCCCAGAGTTGATTTTTACTCTCGGACTCCAACTTAAAATCAAAGGAATAAGTGCATAAATACTCATCTTTGTAGTTATAAAACGTTTCTAACCCTAATCTCTTTGGAGCATGTATCACGTATCGGTCTAGTCATTGCTCCCAGTTACAAATGATAACAGATATAGGTTACTATGAAAATTGATATTATTGAAACAATCCTTGAAATAATTTACTGTTGGATTGAATCATTTCAGGATGTACGAACTACTTTATATGACAGTAAATTTGTGGCTGAGGATTTTATATGATATGGCTGGAAATCTGTCGCGGTAATCCTGACCTGCTCATTCCGAGTTTCCCTCTTCAGTTTTAACATGATTTCACTTTATTTCTATTCGTTTTAATTAACTAAAAAATGAATAAATTTTCGATTAGTTGCCGTTACTGTTTATAATGCGAAGAAACTATTACATCATCGGTTGATTGGAGTTACATATGCAAACCATCGGGTAACAACTAATTGATTAAATACCCAGTTCGATTGTGAGTGCTCAACGCTGAATATTCCTATGCTAGGACGAAATAGCTATTTAGTGCGTTCTTGTGTTCAATAGTTGCCTAACTACGATCAATCCATGATGTCAACTATATAATTCAACACTCCACACTGTTCCATATACTAATTTTGTGAAAAGAATGAATAACATTTTCTTAAGTCTACCCATTATGATTATGTTTTGTAGCACGATTCCTTCAAATACTTTCGGGCGAATCGTTTAGCTATGGATATTAACTTCACCGTGAAACCACCTCCAACTGGATCATCTACTATGGATCAAAGACCTTGGTGTTCATTCTATACAAGTGTATTGAAATTTGCTGATAAACTACGGGTAATTTTTCGTTCTTCGTATTTTTATCATTTCTATATTCTTGTTTACTTATTTCTTTTTAAATAATATATTTTAAAGCCTAAGATTAGTGTATAGTTAACTGAGTATACTACTGAATACATACAACACTATACGCTCGGTAAAATATAAATTATTTTCAATAATTAATGTTTTACTGTTGTTATGTAATTAAAACAAAAGCGGAAGTGAATTAACCTATGCATTACATCAACCTATTTATTGTATGGCTTAATAAACACAAAACTATTTTCCTCATATTTATTTGACAATAAACATTTAATATTAAACAATGTAAACACAAACGTGCATATATAGTAACAACTTGTACTATTAGCTTCCTTTTTTAGTACTTTTTTTTATTGTTCTCAAATGAACATTCAAGTATACTTAATATAACTTATTTGTGTAATTTACAGCCTTATTGACTATCGGTTTAAAAGTTAATGAATTACGTATGCCTAACCATTATCTACCTTCATATACGATATTTACTAGTTAGTGAAGAGTAAGCTGGAAAAAGCTAAGAGCGGCCTAATCTAAATATGTTATCAGTTCATGAAAATTGCTAAACCAACCAATTAACAATGAGAAATGATCGTGATCAATATAGAAATTTGTGGAGATTATCGTATTTTCATAGTTTTTAAATCAAAAACTAATCTTAAACTAACATTGAAAATCTACAAGCACTGGACTACCGTTTCATCCTAGTATCAATCTCAGTCAGCAGTGTTCAACTACGACCTTGACACAGAGAATCTAATTCAGGAATTACGGTATCACAGGGACGGTTCAGTTATCCACCCTAGGCAATGGAGGATGATTGTAAGTTGGTTGAATTTAGAAATTTACACCATTGTATACTGACTCAGTAGTCTAGAGGTTCAACGTTTACGGTGTGATCAGTTGGTGATTTAGAATCTATGAAAATTCTATGAGCTCCACAAAACTCTATACTGATAATTATTCAGTTGCATCCATGTGTACTTAACTGGATCTTTCTTGTTGGCATGGTACTGCTGTGTTGTCATATTCAAGCTTCATCAGGTTTCGATACTATTTAGTAACTGTTTGTGACACTCAGCAGTATGTGGATATTCACATTTCTTGAAGATTATAATGTGTGCTAGTCACTTGACTCCACCTCATTAAAGTCAATTTATGACGAATTTAAAAACTTGGGATCCAATCGAAAATAAAAAGTGAATACACCTGCGTTATCGCAATTGATCTTTCAAAATCTCTAACCGTTGATTAGTCAAGCGAACTGGGACCAGCTAGTCTGCACCTATTTCATTCTTGATTGAAGAAATAGTTTTCATATGTTTTGCTGCCTATTAAAAATATATTCCATAGAGTTCTCTGGCGACCTTTCAACACTTTATTCCACTGTTTCTTTGTACTTTGTGCTTTTTGCCTATTTCATCCATCGATTGGTTGATTGATTTTAGAATTGTCTGTCACAAATTCCTCGTCCTATTCGTCGTGGTTCTTTATATCAATATAAGCCACCAAGAAAGCCACATTTTGGACGTCTACTTCAGTAAGTCCTACTTAATACTGTGTGGGTGAATTTACGTTTGTGTTATATTTTATTTATTTGAACACATAAACATTGATACAAGGTAGCACCAAACACTTATGCTACACACACTAACATCGGGTCCAGTAATAATGATCATTGATTTGTGTGAGGGTTGGAATACTGCCCGGGTCCCCGAACTGAAGCAGGTGGTTTTCCTAGGGGTCCACTCCTTGAGCCTTTGTCATAGAGGTTTGATTCACAAGGCACTTGAGTAACGTTAGGAGATGCAGTCCCGTGGTAGCTGGTGACCAACAATAGGTTCATACGCCATTTGTTCCATCAGGATCCTGGAGCCCATGTACATCATTGGTCTGGAATGAGGGTTTCCTAACTCCCCAAAGTGGACCCCCCGTGTTATATGTTCAACTATATATATATATATATATATATATATATATATATATATATATATATATATATATATATATATATATATAATCATTGCATTTCCCTACTTCACTTTTCCTACTTTAGATCATTAGAATTTAGTATTAACATGCCCCAATTAGAAATCATCTTTTGGGTCTCCTATGCTAAACGTACTGGTGTTCATGTTACTACTGGACCAATACAAATTATTGGCAAATTAAAATGTAAAATAGAAAATGAGGTTAAATTTAATCGATTAATTGGAAAATTGAACACTTCATTAGCCTCATCGTCTACGTCTATAATCGTATCAGGAGGTGAATCAATCCCATTAGATACTACCACTACATCTAATCTCAATGAACAAACAACTATTCTACATCCATATGTAATGATTCCACCAAAATTATCAATCCAACGTAATGGTTTATCAAGACGTCCCATTGTTAATTGGAGTGTTTTAAATTTATTCGCTAGTGTACATGATATTGCAATACATTTAAGACATAGAGATAATCTTCCTGGTCCTTTAATTCAAATGTTATTACAGTGTATGAATACACATCAGAATTGTGTAAGTTCACTTTTATTGGTGTATATATGTAATATGTCTTGTTATATCTTAAATATTTAAAGCATTTTTTAAGTTTCAATAGATTTGATATTAGACATGGTAAAAAATAAAATGGTAGTTCGGTTAAAATGGGAGATAGTAAATCTTCTTTGACTAGGTTTGTAAGTAATATATATTACGTATGTTGGCGTAGAAGTAAGCTGAAAGAAAGCCTCAAGTAATTGTTAACGCTTTAGATCGTTGGTCGATATCACGCGTTAAAGTCACCAATCAGAATTCTAATTATAAATTTTTCGGAGGATTTACATCTATGGACAACCTTTTGGTCAATGCTTAAGTGACCTTGGGAAAATTCACCTACTGGGGTCAAAAGAGGGCTACGGATTATTGTGAAGAATTAGGACGAAATGTAGTTAGTAGTAAGCGTCAGGTATTAGGTTTAAGGTTTTCATCAAGAACTTACATCAGACATAATGACGAAATTGCTAGTGAACGATATGTATGAATGTATTTCGCGCCAAAATCCAATAAATGCTATTCTAAATCTTATTAGTTCGTGCGTAAATTATAGCCTCATCAATGTTTCTATTCTAGATTCACTATTTCTGCTATAGCCCAGTGTTCTAGACTTGACCAAATACTCCTCTGACCTACGCCCCTAACGTTGAGCCGACGCTCGCTTGTACCGACGAGGTTGGTTGAAGTTGTTATGTTGTGCAGTTTCCGATTTTCATTTCGACGTTCAAGCTTCTTACATACTAGTTCATACCAACTACTGGAGTGAGAAGACCGGGAATCAGTAGGGAACTTTATCGCCCAAAACAGAAATAAGAATACATGTACAGGTATTCAGAAATATCTTTCTTGCTTTGGAAATAGCACGTTTCTCCTTACAAAATATTGCCAAATCTTGACCAGTAGTGGGATGCACCACTGTTTTGGCCTCATGAAAACTCGCCATTCTTATCAGAAATAAATTTTGTAAGGTGTAAACAATAATCAAGCTATCATGATATTAATCTATCGAGTTTATTGACTATTGACTCATACCAGAGTATACGACAGTTACATATTAGCACAAAACGTCTATCCAACCACTACCTTATTAATTATTTTTAAATGTTACTAATAATTCTATCTAGCTCTAATCTCCCAGATCGTATTTTGATGTTTTTATATGTTTTTTTTCAATCTTTATTTAAACAGACTAATGATATTAGTAGCAATCATCAGTTAAACCATCATAATTTCAGCATTCATGACATAGAACAACTGGATACTAAAGAAATGAATAATGATACTGAAGCATTTATTCTAGTCCCATTATTACGTTATCAACAACTTTGTCCAACTGTTCTCCCGTCAAATATAGCTGTACGTGTGCATATACCTGGACCACGATCTACTACAATGACATCTGTTACCAAATCTACAACTAATACTACTATCAAAGAAAATAGTAATATTTATAACAATAGTTCTGGAAATACTAATCTCAGTCCTTCTAGCATTGAATGTCATCTAGTTGAATCCATAAAGAATAATACACCTATCAATTCTACGTCTACAATTACTGAGAATATAAGTGCGGATGTTACATCCACATCACATGTTGATGATGAGAAAAAATTGCCATTCAGTCATAATAATAACAACCGTACTACTCATAATAATACTAATCATATACCAACCCCTAGGTATAACTCTACTGCTACACCCTGCAGTACTAACAATCAGATGACACATGAAGATGTAAGTTGTTGTCATCTAGTTGTATTTGTTGTACAAAATATCATTGTTAGTTCTTGAAACAGCTAGCTAATTTCATTTCTCAAGAAGTCACTAGTCGGAATCCTAATTTTGATTTTCATGGGTTCACGTATATTATTCACTCTATAGCTCAGCATCTGTGACATGATCAGTTGCATGCCCGACCACCACTGTTGATCGGTCCAGTATTCGTTAGCTCCTTTCTACTCTCAGCTCTTTAATTCAAAAGTAGCAATCAACGTCTACAATGTCTATATTTCAAATAGACTCGGTCTACCTATAGACATACTGGACTGCATAAAATGAAAGATTACGATTACAAACAAGGCAAGTATGTCTGTAAATAGGGGAGACCGTGAGTAATAGACTGGCACCAAATTAAGAATAGTAAGTCTTAGAACAATAGTTCACGAGTTAAATGAAAGCTTATCTCAAGTGTCTGACGAAATCTCAGCGTGGATTCGAAAAGCTCGTTTGGCTTTTCCCAACTTACGTCACCTATGGTTAGTTAGTTACAACGTAGGGCCAGGAAGGGAGTATACTGCGCGGCAGTTCGTTCTTTTCTACTGTCCATCTGCAAAACGTGGCCTTTAAGAGTAGAGGATACTCGTAAGCTACTGGAATTTAACCACAAATGCCTTAGAAATATTGCTCGCGTCTGCTGGGATCACCGGGTAAGTATTAGTGAGGTTAGACGCAGGGTATTAGGGAATGGTGGTAAATCAGTTAATGAGGTTGTGAATCTTCATCGGTTGAGATGGTTGGGCCACGTGTTACGTATGCCTGAACACCGATTACCACGACTTGCAATGCTAACCGGTGTTGGAGATGGTTGGAAGAAAGTTAGGGGCTGCCAAACAGAAACGTGGCATCAGCGTTTGAAGTCACTAACTTCTAGTCTGAGCCATGTTGGTAGATGCAGATTATTTGGTTTGGGTCCGCATGACTATCGTATTCAATGGTTGGAGACTGTGTGTGATATAGCTCAGAGTCGATCACAATGGCGTCGGTGTATACACTTTTTATCTTCGCTCTAAACTATGAGATTAAAATCGCTTCATATCTTTCTTTCTACGAACTAATTCTTTCTTCCTGTACTATGTCCTTACATGCAATCTTTCTTTTATATATTACCACCTCTGAATTAACTACTTTTATGAATCCGGTGTCCATCTTGTTGTGTTAATGAGGTATGGCAACTTGGACCGATGCATATATGTGCCTGGTCCTACGTTGTAGCTGGCTGAATGATGTCAAGTGGAATACTGTAACTTCTCAACGTCATGTATGTCTAGTCCTTTCTGTTGCTACAGGGTATTCTACAGTCTACCTTCAGCTACTTTTACTTGTTGTATAATTGTAGAACTCAACGTTGTTTAGTTGATTTTTCATACAAATGAATAGTGATTCAGAGATATGTGGCTTGTAACCTGTATTTTTCCTATCCCCTTTTTTGTCATAATTTATATTTTGCTCAGACCTACTCTGTGTTCGGTCGAAGTGTACAAACCGTTTATGTGGTTGGTTTTATTGGTACCAAGCGGATGAGATACATGTTATGCTATAGAATTAATTCTTATCTGCCTGTCTACCTAGACTTAGTGAACATCACAAAAATACACTTAAATTTCCTTGACTCACAAATCGAGTTACTCCTTTTTTCGCCTGTTCTTCCTCTATTTCTGTCTTAGCTCACTCCTGTTCATCATCTTGAAATACATGAATTTAAAATGCGATGGACAGAACAACATAGGAATCTTGTTTACATTCTAATGGATAGTTATCGACATGCTCAATCGTTGAAAAAGAATTTATCAGCTCGTGCACTACATGGATTCAGATTACATCCTGGCGGTAGTAGTAATGGTCATACAACAACAATGACAAGTGGTGGCGGTGGCACAGCTCTTAGTCGAAAGTAAGCAGTATTAGTAGTAGTAACGTCCTCCTCGAAATTATTAAAATCACTTACTCCATTTCATCATTCCACTAAAACAATATCTTGACTCTTGAGAGTTTTTTTCAATTGGTTTTTGTGTATCAATTGTTATTTTAAGCAATTTAGAAACATGAAACATCATTATTGTGGTCATGAAATGCTGAAAAATACATTTGATAAGAAGTAACGTTACAGTTAGAAATTAGTTTCACGGGTTATCAATTTGGTTTAGTGATAGAAGCATTTATCGATTTCAGTCATCATGTTTTAATGTTTCAGCTCAGGTTAATCTATTTGCTTTCAAGTAAATTTAGTTTATGACTCAGAGATTCAAGCTTAAGAAAATTTGTTTGATCAATGAGTTTGTACTGTTTAGAGATTTTTTAACGAAAGTACATAATACATTCACTATGCGCCATACTTGAAATTGAGATGTATGTGCGTACCACGTTCTACGTTGCGAATTACTTGTTAGCACTCAAAATTTGCAGGGTAATAATACCACACCACTACCTCAACTGTTATACGTGGTGTGAGGATTCAAATACAGGACTTAATGGTTAAAAGATGAATGTCACCATCGCTAAGACATCGCTTCCTTGGTTCGAAAACAGTTTATGGTCATTACTAATAATGAACATTATAACACGATCCCATAACAACAAAGAGCATTACAGATATATAAGTTGATAAACATGTTACCATGGTCTGTCTTGCACTTCACGATTTACCATGTATTAATTTTCAAAATAAGAAAAATCCTCAGATACTTTGAACTCTCCCTAAAAGGATTAATTTAGTATTTTCACATTTTAAATCACAAGTTGATGTAAGCTAGACCACCATTGAAACCTGGAAGCACTGAAAGGCCGTTTCGTCCTAGCGGTGCGCATACACGATTCTCACGCGCGAACTCGTAATCTCCTGATCACTGAGGCGATATCAAACGGTGTTAATGTTCAATTCTAATCGATCCGTGATCTTGCGCAACCCTTCATTCATTGCTTGAGGTGGATTACTATCTCGCACCGGACACGAATTAGACCTCACTGGTCACGACTTCTCGCTGGAACTTCAGGAGCTATATCCACTAGTATGCACATGATTACTATCATTACGGGAATTTGTGGAGATTGTAATATTTTCACAGTTTCATACTAGAACGAAACGGTCGCCCAGTGCTTCCATCTTCTAATGGTGGTTTAGCTTTGATCAACTGTGGAAATATTAAAATCTCTACAAGTTTCCATACTGATAATTTTTTCTTATTATCACAGTTGTCATTTATTTATGTTACGTTTATGAGTACTCCCCCCTCCTCACATTCCTTATTCACTTACATCTACTTTTTCTGCTTTAATGAATAGTGCTCGTAGTGCGATTCAATTAACAAACAGTGTTAATAATAATGGTTGTAAATTATTAAACTCTACGGATAAACGTCCATTATCTACTGTTATTCAACAAACTGAGTTATGTCATTTATCTAAATCGACTAAATCAAATTATAATGATAATTATCTTCTGACGAAAATGCCTACAAATGATGAAGTGTTACCAGATAATATCGACATGTCATCAAATGCTGTGACTATGGTGACGGCGACAACAACAAATAATAACTCAGAAATGGAGGAAAATAATTATGATCATGTATATTTGTCAGCAAACTCATCACCACCGTCTGAGTCGAATAAAACGAAGTTAACATTTTTTAAACAGATACCAATGTTGGCGCAGTTATTAGAGGAAGTAGATACAGCACGTTTTTATGCTTATTGTGAAGAAGTAAGTTAATCTATGTATTACTTACTTGCCTTTCGTCCTATATGTGACTCTTCATCCTTTTAAAATTAAAGCCACTTATCGGCCAGTGTTGTGCTTGAATCATTTACCAATTTCTGGTTATCCAAATCTATCATTTTGTGTTTTTTTCACTGTCTATGCTAAGAATTACAACTGTCAGGAAAACGTGTTACTAAATGAATATATCGAGGTTATCCGCTCAGGATCCATATATATTGAGAGAAATTCGTCAATCATAGTCATGATTATCAATAAAGAGGAAATACCAACTCTTCTACAAATGAAGAGTAATTGTTTGAACTAATTAGCTTGAATACGAAAACTTGATCGCTTGTGATTTTGAATGTTTTCTTTATTTTCCAACTGTTAAATACATGAACCTCCGCCTAGTTGGGTTAGCTGTATTGATTTAAAATTAGGGTACTATGTAACATTTTGTTTTGGTATATAGTCTTGGATCCTACACTTAAAATGGATCACATGTCTATTTATATCACACATGACAGTGTAACTCATCAAACTGTAACGTACTATGGACAATCTGAATTGAAATCCATCTGAAAGAAGTATGATTTTTTTCATGACTGCAGAGTATTCAACAACGTGAAATGCAGGTCCAGGGTTGCTTACCAATTGCTCACATCTCTATCTGCTGACATCATAATTAAAAATCTCTAATTCTTTTTTCAGTATTATCATATTATTTCCATGTTTTGTTATTATTTAACTAATGAAGTCGTCTATATGAACGTTGTTGCTGTGTTTTTTTCTCAACAGGAACCCAAACAAACTGATGTAGTATCACAACTACAAGGTTTACATATTTGTGCGTCTAGTTTAGTTGCTGAACGTAATTGGCATTTGGAATTAATCAATCCTCAAGTATGTTTTGTAATGTTTTGTTTTTGGGGAGAAGGGGCTCTTGAATGCGCATTAAACTGAATAACTAGTTTATTTTGAAATTGGTGTCTTTTTAGTATTGAATTAATATCATGATAACAAGATTATTAAATACTTTGATAGGTTTTCTTGTAATTTTTGATATACTGGATCTACCGTGAACAATTAGATCAGTATATATATATATATATATATATATATATATATATATCATTATTTTTTCCTTATATTTATAGTTAATGTTAAAAACAAATCATTTAGCCGGTTATGTCTTAGTGTCCGCAGCCAGAGCCAAGTTGGATGCGTTAACTCATCCGCCGATATGGAAAGATTCACAATTGTTGAATAAATCTAGTTTAGTTGGACATTTGGAATGTATGCAATATTATGCTACTGTTGGACAAGTGAGTAATCTTGGTTGTGGTAGTGAAAGAAGTGTATTTTTTTAGCGTAATATATTGCATTTTTATATAGAATAAATGAAATATGACTGGTAACGGGTTGTAGGATGAACGTTTCATCCAAGTTGAGAATGTTCAAGTGAATGTACCTGCAAACCAGAGTTGATGTTCACTCCTGAACTCGAACGCAATAACATGAACAATCGGAATACAGTCAAAATATTGACGACGGGATAATTCACTTCAGTTAAAATCGAATTGAAAATCTTACTCGTTTTACAAGTGGTTGGCTACCTAAACTCAGTAGCAAAGTGGGTATTTTGTTGACGTTCAAAGCGAAGGATACTAAGTTTGAATCTCAGAATGAAAATCAAGCCGCTTCGTTCTAGTATAATTTCGATTCCCGGATAAGAGCTCGTGGATGCACACTTCTGAGGATTTTTGTACTAGGACAAAGTGGCCGTCCACTGCTTCCAAGTTTTCACTGGTGATTTAGTTAAGGTCGGTTCGTGTTATAAACTATGAAAATGTATTTTTTTCAAGTAATAGTTTAATTGTTGGTGTCATTCATTTTTTTCTTGTCCTAGGTTCTTCCAGAAACACCTGATCAATGGTTATCTACAGCTGATGTTAGTGATTGGACTCATCATAATTTAAATGCTGATGAAGATGCATTAAGTGGACGACCTGAAGTAGTAGGTTGTGGTAGATCCGTCGGTGGTGTAGTTACAGCATGTGTTGGTTTTCCAAAAACACCTTCAAACAACAATAATAATATTAGTAACAATAAGAATTCATTAACTCGAACAAGTACATTGACCTTTGGTACAAAACTAATGAGTAATGATGCGACACTCAAAAATAATGTTACTTTAACTTCTATAATGACTACAACCACACCAACTACTACTACAATCACTAGTTCTACTTCTAAACTCCATACGGATAATATTCGTCCTATTCAACTACAACGTATGATATCTCGTTGTTCATGTGAAGTATTTTATATACATTATGAACCTGCTGATCCAGCGAATTTACCACTTCCACATCTTATCCCACCATTAGTAAGTTCTAATTTCAATGATTTTTTTTTAAATCGTGGGACGGGTTTTTTTTGTTTACATGTCAAAATACTCTTAGCTATATCACTATTAAAGACGAGGAGGCAATAGATAGCTGTTTCGTTCTGATATGGGACTCTTCAGAAGTGCGCACCCGTAATCTTTACATTAGAGATCGAATCGTGAACCCTTTGGTCTCGCACACGGTCTCTAAACCTGATGACCTCTGAGTCGCCACCTAATGATGTATCTGTATAAATTCAATCAGTCTAAGATAGTGTGGGACCATCTCTCACTGCTTACGGTAGACAACTGTTTTTACACCCAACATAGTTGATCTCCAGTAATCAAGGTTTCTCACTAGAACTCCAGGGATTAGATCTTAAAGCTAAACTTTTTGTAAGAGATATATTCGCTATCGAATCTTTCTGAGCTGACCCATGTATGCAAGAGGAATGTGTAATTAGCCTATTTCGGCCATGATGACTAGGTATTTATCAAATAACCTTGATTGGTTTTTTTTTAATTTCCTCTATTTTCGTCCTCTTATATTTACCCTTTACCATAATGCTATTGATGTTCACATTTGTATCATATCTTATTTGACACACACCTTCTTGAGACAGGCATATCATGGTAACATTAAAGTGTTTAGATATGTACCCCCAAATGCCATGGTACGGTTGAGATTGGGGAGAGTTCGCTCCCCCTCTCAAAATGCTCTCACATGGCCACGCGTATATAGCCTCTGCCAGGAAAGTCCTATTCATTGCCTTCTCGTGGCGGGGGTGTTGTTGACGGAATTGAGAGGACGGTAAGCGAATATCCAGCGACTTAACCGGGTTGGTGGACATGGAAAGTCCACTTAAAGGAGTTGGAAAACCCTGATTTCGAACCAATGCTGCTCATGGGCTCCAGTATCCTGAGGGAACAAATGGTGTATGGACCAATCGTTGGTCACCACTACCATGGGACTGCATCTCCTTACGTTGCTCCACTGCCTTATGGATCAGACCTTCAGGTCGAAGGCTCCGGGTGTGGACTCCTAAGGAAACCATCTGTTTCGGTTTGGGCACCCGGTCAGTATCACCGCCTTCATACATATCAAACGAGATTTGTATGGCGCATATGTATTTGGTGCCTCCTTTTACCAATATCTGTGTGTTAAAATAAATAAATAAATAAAGTTCAGATATGTTGCTGAACAGGTTTCCGGTCCACTACTTGATTTCAAATTCAATCATCTTAATTTTATTATTTCTCCATGTTCCTCTTGATTCTTATTTCATAAATTACAACGCCCTCTTTAAAGTCCTTTCTGTAAAGTATTTACCCATGAAACACTTTCAAATTATAATTTATTCCAAGAATAATAAATCTATACAACTTGCAAATTTTATTCCGTATCCTGTGATCTGTAAAGACTTATTTAATGACCTGATATTTTTTGTTGGTGCTGCATTAAATTTGTCTGTTTCTTTTTGTTTTTACTTTTTTTTCTTTGCAGTCACTAGATGAAACAGAAGTTGTTCGTAATCCAGAAGGAGCTGACACAGTCACTTTATTGCATCACACGCTAAATGTTTCCACAAATTCTGTGAGTTTTGTGTTGATATGCATACTAGTCGATGTCATTTTTCGAAATATGATTAAATATGTTTAGTACAACAAGTTTGTGGAAATTTTTGAGTTTTATATTTTACATGACGTAGTGGTGTTATTTAGATAATCGTTGAAAACCAGAAGATATTGGACATTTTTTTTGTCTTGGTAAAGGATCGCACAATAGTGCTCATCGAATACCTTACCGGGGTATTGAGCTCCAGGACTTCCGGATCTATTACTTCAAGAGTGTAACCTTTAGATCATTACTGGGCTAGCATTGAATGGTTTACACATCTAATTTCAATTCATTCTCGATATCGGCCAATCGTCTAATTCCATAGGTGGGTAACTGTTTGCGTTCTCCGTATCCACTTATCCGATTGATTCGTTTTTTTCCTTTCACTTTTGTATAAACACAATCATTACATGAAGACAGTAAGCAGGTAGTTAGGGGTTCCTTAACAGAGACCATGAACGCACAGACCCACAAGAGTATCTCAAGATTACTATTGAATGCTTCTATTTTACGGGCATACAGGAACATTTGTCTTTCCAAATGTTGAACATAGAATGTATATTTCGTGCAAACCAATGTTTTATTCATTTATGCTTTCTTTTCTTTTTTATATATATTTTTAGCTCCAATATCATATGATTGTAGAAATTGTGAACGATCTTCTGTTGTATATTGAACCACAAAGAAAGGTAGTTTAATTATTCAAAAAAAAAATGTGATGATTGAGATTGTTTAGTCCATTATTCACATCGTGAACTGACTTTAACTAGACAACACTTGAGAACCAGCATGTGTTTCATTACTTTCTTATCTGAATATGAAACCTCTCAACACAGCTCACATTCACTAATCCCCTTCAAAGAAAAAGCCTGCGGTCTTCAAGGTTAATTATAAGCGCTTACGTTTTCAAATCACTGAGTTGACTACCACATGCTTTTCAAAATATGTTGTCTAACTAAAATAAGTCCATGATGTAAATTGTAACTGTTCTGTCTTGATAGACTGACAGATACCAGTTATCTTCTATGAGATAATGGCACTATGTCATAAACTTCAGAGTTCATAAGTCTAAAATGGAACACCTCACTAACGCGTTCTAGATCAGACCTTTCACAGTCAGATTAACGCCACGATGGGGCTAAAATGAACGAGATTGCCGTAAAGCATTCTATTTTTCACTACACCTTAATTAATCTTTCAAATTCACTTGATATAACAATATATTAATCTTTGTAAATCGGTGAATTGCAGATTACGCCACTTTCAGATTTCTCAATTCATTTATTTACTTAATCTGATTAATCCGATTAAATAATTTATTATTAGTGTGTGGGTATTTGTGAAGATTATGGAGTTTTCATAACTTTTAAATCGTCGACTGATCTTAGCTAAAACGTAATTTTAAACCTGGAAGCACTGAGCTCCCGTTTCTTCTTAGTATATGACTCCCTAGCAGAGTGCATCTGAAGATCAAACCCACGGCTTCCAGTCTCACTCATGAATCTGTAACGTTCACACCATTAAGCCGACATCCAATGATTTTGATGTTTGACGAGCTGATCTTAGATCATCACTGGAAACATGGAATTACTGGACTGCCGTTTCATCCTAGTATAACAATCCAATATACTTGTGAAAGTTGTTTTTTATAGCATAAATCCCCTTAAAATTATCGTTTTATTACAATTACCTTGTTTTTTAGGCTAAATTGGAACGTAATCGTTTGACATTCGGTTTAATGTCGGAATCACAAGTTCGTTTAGCTATATTACGTGATCAAGAAACTTTACGTCGTTTGATCTCTGAACAACGTCAGCTGGAACGTTATTTATGGTCATACGTTAGACAAACTATGCAAGAACTAGGCTTAAATGCCAATAATACATTAATTAATCATTCATATCCTACAGCTTTTTATCACTCTCCTACTACTGACAGTAGTAACAATGTTACATCGCGAACATCAAATTTAACTCTGAAATTAGTCGATTGCATACAAAGTGCTCGGTGAGTGAGTAAATAAGTATTACTTTCTTCCATTGAAGAATGAGACATTGAATAATATAAATTATGATGTAATGTTGTAAACCACACAAATAATTATTTTGTAAACCTACAATTATTCGCTATCAGCTTTATCCATGTTATATGAATACGTTTTCTTTATTGTGGGAGTTTGATGCAGTGCGTCAATCAGAAATCATCAGATAATAAGTATACGTGACTAGCCAAATAATTTCTTCGCTTTCCTATGAATGAGACATAAAGCACTGATAGGCTTAATCACCTAAGTGATATATATATAACTACTTAATTACCTACCCCTGTTATACCCCTAGTGGAGCGTAGGCTGCCCATCAGGATTCTCCAACCAACTCTGTCCTCAGATCTCCTTTCCAGTTGTTTCCATTTTCTATTCGTTCTTTTGATGTGTTCCTCCAGTTGCTGACGCAATGTCTTCTTGGAACTTCTTTAAGCCTTCAGGATTCCTAGTTAGGGTTTGCCTCGTGATGTAGTTTGATAATTTCTGCGATGCATGTCCTATTCACTTCCAGCGTCTTTTCTTAATTTCCTCTTTATTTGGAAGCTGGTTTGTTCTCTACCACAGTGGGTTGTTGTTGTTCGTGTTCGGCCAACGGATATTGAGTATCTTGTGTAGACAATTGTTCATAAATATCTGTGTTTTTTTGATCGTTTTATTAATTCTCGAAGTTTTAGCTTCGTATAATAGAACTGTCTTCCCTACTTTGTACTTAACGCCGAATTTCAACATAACTCTATTTGATAATTCTGACACACTCAAATTATAAGATGTAAACAAATATAGTCGATCGCTTGATAATTAGGTTCGTTTTCGTCTTGGTTTTACACTTATAAAGTAAGATACAGTAAATTAGTATGAAGTGGGCACTAAATTTAATAGACAAAATAGTGTCTCATCTAAAATGCTGATAATATGAATTAATGAGAACTGAGTGAACATATTGTATTCAAGTTTAAATTTTTATCACTTACCAATAATATTAGGACTGATTGAACTGTCAAGTGGTTAACTATCTTACAACCAACACGATTTGGTTCCATTGGTAACGGCTTCTCACTAGAACTCTGGACATTTTCTTTAGAAACTAATCGCTAGCCAATGAGCACATAATAGTTGTCAGTATGATGTTGTTAGGTCGTGGATGCGCACCGCTGAGGAGTTCCATATCAGAAGGAAATGACCTCACTAACTTTAGATAACCGTTTAAAACCAAGAAGAATTGGGTAGGTGTCATTCGTCAGTGTTTATCTACGACCAGGGCAACATTAACAAAACGCTTTCTAACACTACAATATGAGAGAAAAATTCTCAATGAGTTATTTTACCATTATTCAGTCTTTCTTCCAGTATTACATCCCTTGAAATTTATAATGGAAATTCATTTAGACACTCGGAATTTTTCGACTGTTTTGATGATTGCGTAAAACACATATTTTACTATAGTCTATATAATTAAGTTAAGCAATTATAATTAACACTGCAGTAATATCATAGAAAGAAAAGAAAAACTTTCTTATTCGAATGACCCTTATTTCTTCTAATGACATGACCAGTTTCTATTGTTCATGTTCTACTTTGATAGACCTAGGAAAAAGTGCAGTATTTGTCTGATCCCTTACGGTGATAGAATCTTATCAATCAAGTTGTAATCTAGTCTACTAGTCGACATAACTCTGACATCGAGTATACTATATTTTACTGTTATATAAATTAGGGATAAGTCGGTAGGAGAATTTCATGATACTCGGCATATGTCAACTGGATGTTCCTGGGAAATCTCACGACTCTTTGATCGATAGAATTTAAATAGAATTAAGGACTGGAAAAATACGATATCGGATACTACCATTACTTTTGAGAAACCAATCGCGGTCCAAATGAACTATCCAAGATTTCTTATGTACCTTGTTGACGAGTGACCTCCGTCAAGTTTTAGAATGAGTGCTTAATGCTTAACACTGCAGAGTTTTTATTCATCATAAATATTATATATACACATATATATCGTCTTGTTAATATTCTCATTTCTCTCCTCTCTCTCTTTCTTTGTCAATGGAATGAATATCCATTCATTTTGCTTTAAAAAATCAACCATTAAAAACAGTCAATTGGAAACTCAAATTAATCAATTGAAATCTCGTATTATTGATTTAAATGGTATACTATCACAGCGTTTAGGGCATTATCAACAATTACAAATACAAATTCAACGTCGACATATACGTAAAGCAATGTCATTTCGACGTTATCATCCAACAAATAAATCATCAGCATGTTCATCATTATTATCATTTAATAATGAGACTTTATCATCAATTACAAATTGTAATAATGTTAGTTTAGTACAAAAAACATGTAAGTGATTTTATTTATTTCAAAATGTTGTAGTCTAACTGTTTCGAACCCAAAACACTGAACTTCATAACCATTAAATCCGCTCCACAATGTTGCCCATAAAAAGAATAAGTCAGTCATAAATAATGAAATTATCAGGATAAATGTCAGAGTAGTAGACGTATTAACAGTACTAGTGTTATTAAGAAACATTGATTATGATGATACCATAAATATGAATGAATTTTCAGAATAGAACGTCGTAAATTAATTTTTAAAACTTTTAACATTTAGTCCATGTTCCCGTGGACTATTTTAATCTTTCTACCTATTCTATCACACATATACATTTTCCCTTTGACAATTAATCGTGTGTAACCTCCATCATACTTTATACAAGTAAGTATGCAGGCACATATATACTAGCATGCATATCTGTATGAACCACACGTGAGTAATTCATAAAAGCGAATATGTGTGTCATAGGAAGCATGAAGTAGTCTTAAATGCTACAAACCCCAAGTTTTCCGAAGAATAATGCATGAATGTACCTACATTATTGCGATCTTTTTATTAATCAATTCATCCTATACCTTCAATAGTTGGTTACGATTATTAGATACTCATAGTGTATTTACTACTTCTCGCAATATATACCCTACTACTCTGTTCGAGAGAATCAGAAGTTCTAATACAAAATACCTGATAGTTTTAAATAATTAATCTGTCATTTAGTTATAAATAATGAGTACTTATACTCTTTACAATTTACCATAATCATTGTTGTGGTTAAAGAAAGAGACGTTGGATGATAGGTTTATTGTATCCTTCAGGTCCGTCAAATTTTTGAATGATGATTTTCAAAACTACTCCTCATATCCTCTTATCTAAAACTAATGTATTTCTACTACCATTAATATTGTTATTACTTTTAATACTCTGGCATTTGTCTTTATAATTTCATCTGACTTTGATGATATGATTTGATAACTTAAACCAATACATATTTCCATCAGGTCTTCACACACTGATCTTGGTTGTAAGTAATTTGAGTCGAAAAACACTAGGTTTGAGTTCCAATGTGAAAATAAAACCTACCTATGGGTGTACACCCATCTGACAAGTCCTAAGTAGTAAAAAACGTACATTCTTTATTCTATCGCTAACTACAATCCATTTATCGGTATAGGGTTAAGGAGATTGTTGAGTTTGAACTGAGATCATAAATCGATTAATGTTAGACCTCCGTTGAAAACCTGGAAGACCTGGATGTTGGGATCGTGGATGCTCACTGCTGAAGAGTTCCGTACTAGGAAAAGACGTCATTCTAATGCTTTCATGTTTCAGTGGTGGTCTATCATTGATCGGTTCATGATCTTAGTTACAATCCATGTAGTTTATAAATTAAAATTTCTCTATGTAATGTAAATGTTTATTCATCAAATAATTTATTACTTTACTCTTTTCTACTTGGTGTTCATATATTCTTTCAGCGAATGATGATTTTAATCGAATTATTCAAACCAACAATATTGAATCGGAAACTTATATACAAAATAGAATAAATTTACATCGTGCATCTTCTATAGACTATTTGACTCATCCTATTACGAACACTATGAATAATAATAATACTGAAACTGTCATATCAGAAAGTGGTAATAAGTCATTGTTATCATCGTCATTTATGGATGGTGGTGATAGTAAACCAGCAGAAATTGTTCGACGAAGTGAGGTAAATCCGTCCCATCGTTTTATTTTGTTTTACGTTTTACTACTACTCATAAGTAATGTAAGTTTGCACTTTCAAGTTTTCCATGTTGGTTTAGCTTCAATTGACTCATGATCTCAACTACTGAAATTACTACATTCACTACAAAACTCCTTCTGATATTATTTATTTGTTTATTTCTGACACTTATGTCATTTAAAGCGTGTGTTGACACTTGAGATTTTAGCTTGGTATGGTTATTAGGAAAAAGATTAATTGGGTAGCATTTCACAACAGAACATTTATAGGCACAGATGCATATATCAATTAAGTATTTAGTGGGTTTGTTTAGTAGAACTATACATTAAGTTTACATTTATTATAAAGTATCCAAAACTGAGTGTTTGGTACAAATCATGATCATAGTGAATTCATATATGGTCAAAGTTTAAGCTCCATATTTGCGTGTTAAGAGCGTGGTGCTGAAAAAAAGGAAAGACGAGATGTTGGAGGAACAACTTTAAGTTGTTGATAAAGCGTAATTATTTTCATTAGAACAAATTACGCTATACTCCCAATGAATACAGTTTAGATCCGGTTAAGGAGAAGCTTTATACAAAGCTTTCTACCCTCCTAAAAATATAAACGCTCGGACCTAATAATGATACTTAAGGATTTAAATACTTGAATAGGTAGCTCAAACCAAAGTGAAAAACAATTGTATAGGTCTTACAGTGTCCCAGCTCAGCAAACAGATAAAGACAATCAGCTACTAGAATTATGTTTAGACAACTGTGTTGTTCTTAGTGAACACCTAATTTAAGCATAACGAGAATCATCGTCTGATATGGCAACTCGTACTATCAACTGAACGATGGGCACAAATAGGCCATATGGCTATTAATAAATGTTAGACAGGTCCGATAGAAAACTGTCTTTCATTCAAGAGCAGGCATCTTGACTCTGATCATGCTCTCGTATGAGGGCGCATTTGTAATGTCGAAAATATGAGTCTATGTAGTGGAATGCATAAGTGAATAATCTCAGAATCATTTAATAGTTGCCTCATTTCCATCAAGAACAGCCTGAAACTCAAACAAGTTTAAGTTTGTTTGAACTGTGTGTACTCGTACGCTACTATCGATTGGCTACAAATAATTACTATACCAAGTTTTGGAAAACTCGAAGCCAAAGTACTACAGTACTTGGCGTTATTTTCTGATAATTCAAGATAGGAAGGCAAGTTCCAGTGTTTTCTGAATTAATGTAACATTTTATGACATTAGTTTTATTCCCAATACAACATTTTGATATCGGTTTTATTTTCAGTGTAACATTTTAGTCAATAAAATAAAGGTCTTTATTTTTTCCAGTGTAATATTATTTTTTAAAGAAAAAACATACAATGACATTGTTTTTAATCATTAGGTGTGTTTTGAGCATGCAAGATGGCGTATGACTGAAAATGATGGACAAATAGGTTTAGCTGATGTGGAACTACGTGGTTTTATTTATACAAAAACACATCGTCAAGATGATTCTGGTTCACATCGTTTAGAATTAGGTTGGATACGTGTTTGTAGTTTGGCACCGAATTCATTTTATCGAGTAAGTGTTTATACATTTTTGTCAATTTTTTTTCGATTGTTTTACACGTGAGATATAAGGAGTGCTATTGATTTATTATTGAATAGTAGTAACTGTCACGTTTCCGTGATTTAATCATAATTTAATCTTAGCTAGATCAATGTTAAAAACCCTCAAGTACTGGACTGATGTTTCATCCCAGTATGTGGCTTCTTAGCAGTGCGCATTCAGAACTCCACCACAAGGTACTGTACTCAAAGCCTTGTGTCTCATATGCAAACAATTAACCTTCAGATTACTGAACTGCCATCCAGTTGTGTATATGTCTGATTTTATCGACTTGCGATATTACTCGATCATACCCCATTGCCTGTGGTAGATAAATGTATCATTCCCCACATTGTCGAACTCCATTGGTCACAAACATCCAGTGCCTCCTGGTTATGATTAATTGTCTAGCTAACATAAGTTCGTGATTTAAACTATGATAGATCTGTAATCTCCACAAAACCCTATACTGATCGCTATCATGTTTTTTTAGTACTTTAAATACTTTCTCAATTACGTCTCGGTGTTGTGACTCTATATTACATTCACTGTATATTAATGTTATTTACTGATCAGTAGAATGCAACACTGTTTCACAGCTCTCACTGTTTGCTGAATGAAAATTACCGCGCGATATGAGACTTGAGATTCAACAATTTCCCATAGTAATTATCTGATGTTCTCATATATTCTAGCATAGTGAAGGGTTTATTGCTTCCCAATATCGATAAGCAAGTGTTTGATTATTTTTTGTGTCCCATTTTTCCTACATATCCGCTAGTTTTTATAGTTTTTATCATGAACCGATCTTAGTTTGATAAATATTGTTGACCAGATCGCAGTGGACTTCCACTATCACTTCTCTATGAATGGAAATCAAGACATGGTCTTCCATAACCTTTAGACCACCATATAAACATCCAATTTTTTTGAATTTCTAACTTCCATAAATTCTCATTATTACTCAATTATTATCCAATGTAATTGGTGGGTAACTGTCTCAGTCGAGGTGACCGAACTCCACTACTCATGTTCATTTCACTAGAACACTGGGGATTGCCTCTCTATGTTAGTCACTAGTGATTATATGATTATCATTGGTGTAAGCAGTTTGTTGAATTTTATAGTTTATATCTCGTATCAACATTAGCTAAACAATCATCGGGGACCAAGAAGCAGTAATCCGAGGTTTCGTCCTAGTATGTGTGACTACTCGGCAATGTGCATGGACTACCTTAAGGTAAGCTGAATCGCAGGGCTTTCAAGCGTCTAACCTTTAGACCACTGATTCAGCATCCAATGGTTAGTTCGTTTAACTTAAATTATCGATACTGTGCGATCGTCTTCTGATGACACTAGTAGGCTGTTTCCTTACACTCTATATGATCGAACTCCAGTGGTCACCGCCTTTGTCTATCTGGGTTTTTTTTCTTGCGATCTATTTATTTTAGAGAAAGTGACCTTATCTTTACTGTATATGTACACTGATATTTCATCATTTATTTCTTTGCTAGGAAGTTTTAGCTCCTGATGTATCTGGTGGTCGTTATGCTGGTGGTCCAATTCTACGTATTGCTTGTTCTGATTTAGCTCCAGTCGGTGGAATATCTGTGAAAGAAGCGATGGAAATCAGTGTTGCACCAATTTTATTACAGGTAAGCTGAAAAACCTTTTGCGTACCTTTATGTTTTATGTAGTTTTTTTCTCTAGACACAAGGTATTCATTTTTGTCTGTTAAATAATAATAATAATAATAATAATAATAATAATAATAATAATAATAATAATAAAACAAGTCATGACATTCGTTCATAAATTCATGAACTGCCGAAAATAAATCAAATCGATAGGTTCAGACAACTCGGTTGGGTCCTGAGCGATTGTTGTAACCAATGGTTTTATACATGGAGTAGGATACATGGCTTCAGAATTAGTCACAATAGCCCATATGAATTTCCTCTTGACCTTGAATGTTTTAAAATTCTATGAATTCATTCTTTCTCCCTTAGTCATATGGTTTATAATTAATCTTTTTTATAACTTTTGTATTTGTTTCGATCATTTTATCTCGCTGTTTTAATATAATGTACCAACTTGGACAGATTCTCACATGTTATGTCGGAAGAAAAGAGAAGAAATTGTTTGCTTGAGTTGTACTGTGTCTTGTGGGATCTGTCTGTAGTGACAGGAAAATAATTGTGTGATCTTTATTTCTCTTTCTCTCGTTCTAGGCCGTTATAGACTACCTCATTTATATTCTCAATAGGGCAGGTGACCTATTAATTGACACAATCCAAGCGATGAACACCAACGAAAACGTTAATGCTTATTAGTCCTCGAGCTCCTTCTAACCCACTGGTTAATCAGAATGTCCTGTTGGGAAGAAGATTGGTTCTTTGTTGAACTCGTTTCTCTATTCCCTCCCTTCAGTCCCAGAAGTAGTCAGCAAGCCAGTCTTCTATTATTGTACTCAATTCAATGATGACTCAAACACCATACAGTAATATACTTAGAATATCCGACAACACATCTAGGGAATTACAATATGTACATAACGGTAGTAATAGGGAAATAAGTAATTAATCATTAGTCTCTAACAATACGCAATATGACAACGATTTGTGTGGGTCAAATGAAAGCTTAGAAAAAAGAGAATATAACGATAGAGCAGTTTAAGCGTTTACTAATTATACAATAAAAATATAAATAATGTTTCATATGATAGCTTCACGAGTTATACTTCCATATTACTCATCGTTTCATTATATCACAGATATGTTTTTATGTAACAATAACATGCTTATATACTGGATATGAACGCAAAATAAACGATAAAATATGGTAGCCGATTGATGGAAATTAGCTTGCAGATCACTTATTCTCCAAATAGTCAAAACCTAACTCAAATCCTTCGATCTCTCGCTCGAACGCTTGACCTCCAGGCCTCTGAGTCGGCAACCAACGGTATTAATGTCTAATTTCAATCAGTCCACGATACTGCGCGACCATCTTTCATTGTGTTTGCTAAGTAACTGCTTCACATCTGATGCGGCTGAACTCCACTGACGAGGGCTCACTTGAACTAGACATTAGTACCGTTTGATACCAGCTCAGTGGTCTGGAGGTTTGGCATTCGTGCGAGACAAAAGGTTCCACCCTTGAATCCGAAGTGAAGAATTCTGGATCCGCACTGTTGAGGAACCCCATGCTATGACGAAACGGTCATCCAATCCTTTCGGGTTCTCAACAGTGGTCTTACATTTCAATGAAATTCAACAATCTCCAAAACCCTATACTGGTAATTATCATTTACTCACTAGTGACTTGCTTAGAGAGTTAATTCTCGGAGTTCCAGTGAGAAGCCGCGACTAATGAGTTTCAATCATGTCGGTTTTGTTTGCTTGAATTTACACCACTGAGTGATGCCGTAGGGTTTATTTAAAGAAAAAATGTTTCGTTGAATTGATTCATGACAATAATAACAATAACAGTAAAATAAAATCATTGACAATACTCTCAGCAAATGAACCTCGTATTGATCGAAACATTGTTTTGCCATATAGTTTCACAATGACTATAATCCTTCCCTTATCTTTTATACCTATTTCTGCACATCTCTTCTTGTGTTTTGTAGATGAGTAAGCAATTCTATAGGATTATGATGCCTTTCTTTTTTCCTGAAAAAACTGAAGATACTGCTACTACTAATACTGTCACCGCTACCCCTGTTCATACTGTAAATGTAGCAAACCCAATAGGAGGTTAGTTTAAACGTTTCTGTTTTGCAATATATATATATATATATATATAACCGGTTAGTTACAACCTTATTCACATCGGAAATTTTTGGGTTGGGTTGAAACAGGATTCGATCTCGAATAACAAATTGTTTTGATGCAGCATTAAATAGGCACGTAATACTAGGTGATATTCTAACTCATTGAGGTAATGGGTAGGTTAGAGGGAGAAGATAATGCTCTTCTGAGAATTTAAAAGACGCCATTAATCCACGAAGTCACTGCTGACTAGTAGTGTGAACTGTGTGTGGATATGTGTTGAATTCCTGGTGGAAGAGTCCATTTGACAATTCCAGCCTATGGTTAAGCTTATTGAATAATTCATGTGGAAGTCGTTCACATTTTTGCAACTGAATTCATTCCCTATCGTACGCTAAATCTCGAGTTTTAATTTTGTTCTCGAAATTTCACATTCTCTGGTGTTATCCATTGTTTTCAAACTACATTAATATCGTTTATTTATGTTGTACGATATTTGCTATTATTATCGCCAAAATGTTTTGTGTTTCGGTTCTTATTTTTAATTACCTACGGATGAATTGTGGGGTATAGCGAATCGGGTCGGTACACATATTGTCAGATCCTCAATCTGTTCATGACTATTTATTTATATTGTTCAGCTGTAAACCATATTCTTTTGGCTTATTTAATAACTCATTTATCAGGTACAGATTCTAGTACTTGACTTCAAGTCACATATCTAAATGTGGGAGTGGTTCAATCTACTTGACCCCCGAATGCCCTGGTGCGGCCGAGAATGGCGAAATTCCTCTCTCCCTCTCGAAGTTCTCCCACATGACCACGCTTATTCAGCCACTGTCAGGGAAGTCCTACCTACTGCCTTCTCTCGGCGGGGGTGTTGTTTACGAAAACGAGAGGATGGTAAGAGATTATCCGGCGCTTTAATCGGGTTGGTAGATATGGAGGATCCACCTAAGGGAGTTGGAAATCTCTGATTCCAAACCAATGGTGTACATGGGCTCCAGGATCCTGAGGGAAGAAATGGCGTTTGAACCTATTTTTGTTCACCGGCTACTGTGGGACCATCTTTTAACGTTACTCCAGTGCCTTGTGGATTTAACCTCTATGTCTAAGACTCCGGGTGTGGTCCCCTAAGAAAACCACCTGCTTCAGTTCGGGGACCCGGGTAGTATTCCAACCCTTACATAGATGGAATGATGAAGTGTAGCGCATATGTGACCTGTATGTTTTTCGTTGCTTCAAGATCATAGTTTTCTAATTGAGGTGTTGCAGCTTATGTTCCTTTCATATCCATCAACTCGATTCAAGCACCAGACATCCGGTTTTCATCTTCACACTTCCATAAAAGCGCTCTCGTCACATTAATCCAGTAAGTAGTACTTCTCTTTCAAAGGTTATAAACATATCGCCATATTAAAACATTTTGGAAAAGCAGACTCATCCTACCCTTTACCATTTGAAAGCATACAACTCCAGTAGCTCAGTTTACGTATTTATTGGATAGACTGTGTATCATCTATTGATCGATGCGCATCTGTACATGTTCATTTTTTCTCACAAAGATATAATTTTCAGTAATGATTGGACCAATATCACAGTAGCTCATTAACCGAATTCATTGTTATTTTTAGACGGCATTAATTCATCTGCATTTACTAGTCATCCGTTTTTTATTCCACAAGACAATGTTGGGAGTAGTAGTGGTATCGGTAGTGTTGCATTTCATTATCTTGATTCGAATCTCTCTACAAATCCAAATAATCTACGTAAGTCAAATTTTGTCTCGTTGGTATAATTTCTGATGACCTTTAAATGTCCACTAGCTCTGGTGTTAGATATGTAAGGAATTTGATTCATAACTTTTTCATATCTGTAATGCACTTCACCTTTTGGATAGACTATATTAATAACGGAACTGAATAGTTTAGCTTTACTGATGCTGATAAGCTGTCTCAAATATTTTCTTTTCTCAAGAACTAGTAGGAAAAGAAGATAATAGGACAAATCTCTCTATCTGAAGATTACATTAAGAAAAAGAATAGTCTACGTGATTAAATGAATAGACAGTTAGACGACAGACAATACAGTAACTTAGAAAATACAGTGTACGCCAAAATAAGGCCTTTAGAATAACAATTGGAATACATAGTCCCTACTTAAGTTACAATACATTGGGCATAAGAGAAGATATGACAACAGTTTGTAGATCAAATAAAAGCTTATGATCAGGGAAATAAGAGAAACACGTGACCTACCTATTAGTAAATACCCGTTGAAAATTAAAAGCAATAATATCCTGAAAGGTAGGCTACACAGTTTGTTATTCTCCTTTATTATTTTTTCAATAACACATCTTTTTAAGAAACAGATTTTAACATAGACATATTAGGGCTCTAATAAATTCCTCTGTTAATTCAATATTTGAACAGTGTAGAATATGATAGCAGTAACAAAAAAAATTCACAATATAACACGACAATTATCCAATGTTATTAATGACAATTGTTTTACTCCTGATATATATGTTTCGATTTCTAGTGGGTTCATAGTACTTTAGAGTCTCACACTAGGACAAATAATTGTCCAGTGCTTCTTAGTTTTCAACGATGTCCCAAGTGTAACCAGTCGTTGACGGATATAACCTAGGAGCCCTGTAAATTAGTTTACAAAAATGTATATCTTATGGAGTGATAGTTACCAGGGGTTTCACAACCTACGAGGGGTTATACGAATATACTATGTGGAATACAGAGATAAGTCTGAAACAATCATTATCAATTCATGCACCGTGTTCATGCTTGAAATCACCAATCGATCTTAGCCAAACTCTCATTAAGAACTTGGGTGCATTGGATGGCCGTTTATTTCCTAATATAAGACTCCTTAATGGTCCCTATCCACAACAATAGAAGGTGGTTGTGCATTATTGTGAATTGATTGAAGTTAGACACATACATCACTGTATACCGGCTCAGTGATTTAAAGGTTGTGTGTGTGCGCGATATTGAAGGGTACCAGGTTCGATCCCTTGTAATGGAGTTTGCTGAGAAGTCCCATACTTGGACGAACTAACCGTCTAGTGCTTCCAGGTGTTCATTGGTTTAAATCATGAAATTCTATCATCATTATGGATCTTCTTATACTATTACTAATGATGCACTATTGTTTAGATAATTGATGTACATTTTTCTATCACTAACTTCAGGTTACTCATCAGAGAATATCGGTTTACCAAGTAAATCATGGCTACGACGTTATCTATCCCGATATTTACCTCATCGTTTAAAGAATGAGAGCGAATCATTACCATCAGTTTCATCATCATTACCACAACCATTAAATGTTATCTATAAATCTCATCAATCAGATATTTTAGAAAACATATCGTCAGATTTATCTATGCCGATTGTTGTTTCAACTGCGGCTACAACAGTAACACTTACTTCGTCGTTGTTTTCGCCAGCATCAGTGTACATTCCATCAAATAATTTAACAATCGAAGCTGCTATATCTGGACGAAATTATTGTAGTGTCAATGATGATTGGAATGCATTGAGTAATAATGCAACGGGATCAGGGACTGAAACAACAGTAGCATCGTCACTATCGCTTACGTCTTCTTTTGCCACAACGTCTAAATTATTACAAATGATGAATATGCGCACGAAGTTACCCATAACCGATTATATACGGAGCCAAAAGTAGGTTCAACGGGTTATTGAATATATATATTGTAGTTTATTACCATTAAAAACCAGGAAGTGTCGGACAGCTGTCCCGCCGTGGTATGGGACTTCTCACCGTAACATGTGCACAAAATCGTCACAGATCGAGCTCTAGGCCTTTCAAATCTTACAGTAAACACTTATCTTTTAGACCAATGAGACTTCCATCCACTGATTCACATGTTGGACTTTAATTTGTGATATCGCCCAACCATTTCTCAATGTTATTAGCGAATGAGTAACTGACTGATGTTCGACATGGTTTAACTGTGAGAGTTATCTCTCGATATTAGTCGATTGTTGAGACTTCGTTGAAATCATGGGTCGATCACTGTTTTAGACCGCCATTAGAAGCCTGTGTAAGGGCTGGTACTATATCAAGCCACATTTTTGTCCTGTCACTCATTCACATATGTAAGTGCATATATGTGCATTTCTTATCCTACTCATCACATGTTTGTAACTTATTTTTGTCTGACTATAAACGTCAATTCACGCTTGGTTGAAAGGTGTTGGCTAACATGTCTTCTCCAATCCGTTTCGTTTCGCTCTATCCTCCTCGCTTCGTCTCTCTGATTGTCTATTAGGATCGTCGATTTTACCAAATATACGTAGTCAAAACTTCATTTTCGTATTCGACTTATTTTAATTCCGTTATTCACCAACGCTAATTTAGTCGTTAATTATATATTAGGGTAGCGAGGATGTATATTTCGACAGCAATCATTCGATAATCTTCAAAACCCGATACTGATAAGTACACGTCTATTTACTCGTCTTATAAACTATATTGATTTTACGAGAACTAATAATACGCTACCTGGATGCTCAAATCTGAGAAGACTTAGCTAAGTTTTAAGCGATGACTTACTTGTTCAAAAAATAGTGATCTTACTAAATCATTGCTCCCACTGGCTTGACCAATACATGCATACAACACACCTACATACTACTTACATACATGCATACATAACATATAGACATATTGTATCTAGATGGTAGTTGGAGGTAGTCAACTACCATCTAAATATCAATACATAGTGCCCGCAGTGTCGAGTCACCTAGACTGGTGGCCACATTGCAACATGATCGATAGCATTCGATCTGCACTAATAAGGACTAGACAAGCATGACATTGATCACCACCCAGTGATCAATCAATTGTGATTACATATTGTATCACACATAATTCCTACTCCTTTTTCCCATATTTTGTTTCCGAATTGTAGCGAATTGGAATTTCCCAATCTTTTCCACACGAATGTATCTGACGTTAAATCATCATTATCACATAATCATAAATCTAATGAATGTTTTTCAATACCATTGACACATTATTCAAATTACAACGATACTACTACTGATAATTTTATCATGTTAATGCAACAACCATCGATATGTTTACAACAATTATTACCTGTAAACAATATATGCACATATTGTAAATCGATTCATTCAACCTCTAGTAATCATCTTCATTCTTTGAATATGTCATGGTATAATCCAATGAATTATGGATCTCTACCAACGGATCAAATAACATCAGTTAATCAAATCGCTATGCATCATTCAAAGCATAATATTAACAACACAAATATACCATTGAATCCAGTTGATGTGATGCAGGTAAGTTTTTTTCTTCGTTTAATAGAAAAATCTATTAATTTTTATTTTGTCGATGGCTTGATGTTCAGACTTTGGCAGGTTTTTGTCTAGCCTGAATGTAAGTGTGTTATTGTGTGAGATGGGAGTATGAAAAGCAGTGTATGAAAGAATTCGGAAGAGAAAATAACAAGAGAAATAATGACCCGACAACTCAGTAAACATAGTGATGAATCAAGGAAATTATCAGTATGGGGGTTGTGGAGATTGTTAAGTTTTTGGTTGAGATCATGAACCAATTGATGTTAGACCACCGTTGGAAACCTGGAAGCACTGGACGGCCGTTTCGTCCTAGTATGGGACTCCTCAACAGTGCGCATCCACGATCCCGCACCCCGCGGGATCCGAACCCAGGACCTACTGGCTTCGCGCCTGAGCACTTAACCATTATACCACTGAGCCGGCATCGAATGGTGTTAGTGTCTAACATCAACCAATCCACGAAATTGCGCGACCAACTTCCATTGTACTGAGGTAGATACCTGTCTCTACCCGACACGGATTAGCTCCACTGGTCACGACTTCTCACTAGAACTCCGAGAATTCCCTCACGAAGCTAGTCACTAGGACGAAACGGCCGTCCAGTGCTTCCAGGTTTCCAACGGTGGTCTAACATCAATTGATTCATGATCTCAATCAAGGAAATTATTTTGACAACAGTCTCTTTTGTTTAATTTAAACATTGTACTAGCTTGGAGCTTGTTAGTGTCTCCATTAGAAACTATTAACAACAAGTATACATTTTATTAAATTTAGCCTGAAATAGTTTATTGAGATTGATGTGTTCTTCAGTTTATTTAAAACAATTTTCATCATGAACTGAGATTTCACTACATTCGTATTTATTATTGTTGGGGATGCTAGATCCCCAGATATCACTTGGTAACTTTTTTAGTTTTGTTATCTTATTATGGAAATTTGAATTTCTCATTTTGGCACCAAAACTTACACTTTTACCTTCATCTTGTGTTTCCCACCTGGAACGACCTTAAATATCATTGGTTCGTTTGTTATTTTAGTAAGCGATTTTGTAACGTTGTTTCAAGGAAATTTTTGTATTATTTATGTACTCATGAGTTGTGTGCTTGTTTGTCATTGCTTCCGACTACTTGTGTAATATACATTACCCTCGGCTGAATTTGGTCTTCTAGTTAGCAGGTCTGAGATTCATTTTAATAGCTTAGCTTGTTCTGTTATTGTGTTACTGGCTTTTATTCCGTTCTCCAGTCCTAGGTGATATCTTATTCCTTCGAGCATAGCAATTATTTACGAACTCAATTTAATTAGTGATTATAATCATTTTTTAATGGTTTTACGCAAATGACTAAATAGCCATCCTTTCATATAATAATTTAGATAAAGATAGATGGACAGTATCCTTGACTACGTGGATAAATTGATTACTCATAGTATCCTATTCTAGTATTTGCATTTCTCACTACAATATAACCTTGACGATGATCTGTGGATAATATCATTCTGAAATAATTTGATCTATCGAATTCTCAATGCACCGATCGACTTAGAATACGCAGATGATATTGTCCTGTTTGGTGAAGACGCTGATAAAATGCAGAGTCTTTTGGTAGCACTGAGCAACAATGTCAGAATGTTTGGAATGAGCTTCTCTCCCTCTAAATGCAGGTTGTTGCTTCAGAACTGGTCTGCATCAACACCTGAACTAAGGATAGGGAATGAAGTAGTCGAACGCGTTGACGACTTCACTTATCTTGGAAGTCTGATCAGCCCTAATGGGTTGGTGTCTGACGAAATCTCAGCACGGATTCGAAAAGCTCTCTTGGCTTTTCTCAACTTACGTCACCTATGGCAAAGGCGAGATATCCGTCTATCAATGAAAGGACGAGTATACTGCGCGGCAGTTCGTTCTGTTTTAATTTACGAGAGTGAAATATAGCCATAAAGAGTAGAAGACACACGTAAGCTACTGGTATTCGATCACAGATGCCTTAGAAATATTGCTGGCGTCTGCTGGGATCACCGGGGGGTAAGTATTAGTGAGGTTAGACGCAGAGTATTAGGGAATGATGGTAACTCAGTTGATGAGGTTGTTAATCTTCATCAACTGAGATGGTTGGGCCACGTGTTACGTATGCCTGAACACCGATTACCACGACTTGCAATGCTATCCGGTGTTGGAGATGGTTGGAAGAAAGTTAGGGACGGCCAAACAGAAACGTGGCATCAGCGTTTGAAGTCACTAACTTCTAGTCTGAGCCATGTTGGTCGATGCAGATTATTTGGTTTGGGTTCGCATGACTATCGTATTCAATGGTTGGAGACTGTGTGTGATATAGCTCAGAGTCGATCACAATGGCGTCGGTGTATACACTTTTTATCTTCGCTCTAAACTATGAGATTAAAATCGCTTCATATCTTTCTTTCTACGAACTAATTCTTTCTTCCTGTACTATGTCCTTACATGCAATCTTTCTTTTATATATTACCACCTCTGAATTAACTACTTTTATGAATCCAGTGTCCATCTTGTTGTGTTAATGAGGTATGGCAACTTGGACCGATGCATATATGTGCCTGGTCCTACGTTGTAGCTAACTGACTGACTGCACCGATCAGAATAATTTATGATAAATTGATTGGTTGATTGGTAGTTCTAAATTAATCATAACCTATTTATTCAATCAAGATTGTTTTTAATAGTTATAAACACAAATAATGCTGTTTATTTGTTGCTTTTTTAAAAAAATAACTTTCTTTTCTATGTTGTCTTTCTTTGTGTATGTGTACGTGTTCACTAATACTAGGAAAGAGCTCGTCAAAACAAAGTATTTCTATACATTAAAATTCCTGGTTTTCCAATACGATTAAGTTATAAGGTTAGTTTTGTTTGATTATACCTTCGTGTTATTATTCAATTAAATTAATGTGTACATATATAAAAAAAGAGAAGGTGTAGTCAACAATTTGACTTTCTATGATTAGAAGCTGTTTATAATTACTAGAAAAGACATAAAATGAAACTATACAGTTTCTGACTAATAGTTTGATGTGTTGAAAACTAAATTGCACTGTTTGACATTGACTTAATCACTTTTTAATGCATCCTCGTGTATTCATTAAACCAACATTAGTTCTAAATGTAAATCATTATCTTTAAAAATAGTCAAATTGCGTTTGATGAGCAAAGTTTGAAAAAGATAGAAGCCTTTACATTATTTGGGCAGCATCATTAATAAACAAGGAGGATCTGATATCTATATGAAAACACGTATTAACAAAGCAAGGATAGCATTCCTACGAATGAAGAATATCTGGACGTTAAAAACAACTGACAGCCAACATCAAAGTCAGAATTTTTAACATTCATATCAAAACAGTCCTATTGTACAGAACTTATACTTGGAAAACCATCAACAACCTGCTGTGGCAGAAAATGAACCAGCTTCCAGCTGAGGGGGGAATTAGGAAAAAACTGTAGCCGCAAAGTAAAACCCGGTACGTGCATATTGACACGCCCCATTAGCAAAGAGAGAATTATCGGGGAAAATCCCATATTAGTGGAGGTAGTAACAGTATGAGGGATGATTGAAAAGATTAATCATTGAAGATACGATTCGAGAATAAAATATAACCTAGTGAGGTAAAAATAAATTAATGAGAAATTCAGAAGCTCAGGATTTGGAGCCATTGCAAGCTATTTGGGGCTATGTCGTTCAAAGTCTCCAACCCCTGGTTACGATAATCACGCGAACTCCAAATAGGTAATCTACACCTACCTACTTAGCTCAGTCTACTTGTCAATGACGGTGCCACATCTTCGTTTGACCGCCTTTAGATTTATTCTAGTCTACTTTTACACCAGATAACATCACTTGTTGAGGTAGACTGTGATATGGCATTCGTAATACATATCCCAACCACCTCAGTTAATGAAGATTTGCTACCTTTTCAATCATTTTGCCACCTTTATTTAGTACCCTGTTCCTAACATAGCTATTGCTTACTCGGTGGACTTAAGTCTCCGAATGAGCCAGATTGTTATATCTTGTGACATTAATCAAAATATCCTGCATTGAATTCATCAATCGGAATCCTGATTCTAATTTTTTTCTATCCCTCATCTACTATTGCGTCTATAGCCTAGCATTCCAGACTTGGTCAATTATATGTCCTGTCTTGCGTAGTTGAACTGTAGCTGACTTCAGCTACACTCTTGTTTGTTCGCCTGTCTCAAAGCCTTTTCTTATCTCCACCCTCTATTGTTGTACCTAATTCAATTGTGACAATATTTTATTCCACATAATTACAACCAGTCACTTTCAGTTAGCTTGACATAGAAATTAATAAGAGGTGGTCAGTAAGTAACGTGGCTGTTCGTTCACATTTAGTAACCAGTCACATTTCACTCTCATTGCCACACATCAGTGGAATAAAGTTTTCGAGGATCTATCTTGTAGTATATTATTATTGCTCATAAGATTTTAGTTTTATCAAAGGATTTTTACTACTGATGCTCTCTCCTCTATGTGGTGTAAAATCTACTCCTGATTAGGACTGTCTAGAAAATAGGATAAAAATTATTTTCAAAGTATACTTTTTATATTTAAAATCATGAACTGATATGAATTAGGAAATCACTGAAAGTCTGGAAACACTGAACGGCTATTTCGTTCTAGTACGGGACAACTCAGTAGTAGACATCCATGACCTTGAAACCAGGAACCTAACATAAGACCTTCGATCTCGCACTTGAATCTTTAATCTTTAGACCACTGAGCCCGGGACCTAGTGGTGTACAAGTCTAATTTCTGTCAATGTACAATTTTGTCCGACCATCTTCCATTTTCTATAATGGGTACCTTTCTCGCATCCGACATAGCCGGACTCCATTTGTTACAGCTTTTCTTTTTAGAAAATCTCCATTTTATTTTTTTTAAAAATCTTTTTAAGGGTGAAAAACAAAAAAATATCACTGATGTAACACGTTTTGAATTGTTTATTCCAACACTGGAATATCATAATTGTGTTTGGACGTGGTTAGATTTTGTGATGGAAGTAAAAACGCGTATACGTAAACAACTTGTTCGTGAAGTAAGTTATATCTCAATTCATTTTCACTTTAATAATGGATTTTTGTCCAAAGAAAATCTTCTTTTAAAAGTTGTCAATTAGAAGCAATGTGTATAGTTTAGTATGAATGTGTATCTTTTGAAATAGTTAATCACCTTTAAAATAAGCAGTTAAATATTGAAATAATCCAATATAGATTTCTAACTTAATTGATTGCTTTTAATGAAAGTGTTGAATTCTGTCATTGTTTAAATTGATTTAATTACGGAATTCTTATTATCATTCTAGACAACTTCATCAGTACGCGTGCTATAATGTTGAGATGAAGTTAATGTTAATGATTTTATTTCGAACAATAATGAATACTTCAATAATCAATCATCCTTTAGGTTAGAGAATTCAATAACTCCGAAAAAGATTAGAGATATTGGTGGAGTTTTATTCTCTGAACTGGATAGTTTGGTCGTGGAGCTTTCATTGTTATTCTGAACGACATCACCAGCACAAACTTCAGGTAGAAGAATTGACATCATAATTAAGACAAAAGAGAATGTTTATTGTTAAAGGAATAAATACAACTAGAAAATAAGAAATATATGAAATAAAATTAAAATGGTTAATGCTACTGGATAATTGCGACCAGTTGTTGTTAATCATATAGATTACTGTTATATAATGAACTCCTACAAGACAGTCTACACAATTTAACGTAACTTAAACCGTTAACCAATAGATTTATACTGTTTCGATCTGCTTATTCCTAGGTTTTTTCGTCTGGTTGTTTTCCTGAATTTACTGTTCTACCGGTTAGAAAACTAACTTATAGCCAATGTTTAATGAAGTATATAACACAATATATTCAAAAGACGTGATGAAATTCTATAGTCTTTTGGGCCAAGTTTTCATTTCCTATCTAGAACTCCATATATTTAGGCCATTGTATTCAACATTGAGCATTATCATTGCCTTTTTGGCGGCCTGCTTGAATACTGGGCTATCTGTTCCTGTCATTTAGATATTTCAACAAGTTATATGTTTGTTTGTTTGTTTTAACACATCATTATGTGTTGTTGCAGGTTAGATGCGCAGCGTTTTATCGATCGACTCAGTGACACGTAAAACACGTAAGGACAACCTAGAGTCCCGACTGGTCCAGCTTCCCTGTCTAGCCCAGCCAGTTGAGTCCAGAACGCAAGTCACACAGCCTCTGAGTTATGAATCATTTTATTTCAGACATACTGTATTTATATACTAACCAAACAGACCACATTGTACCATAAAAATAGAAGACAACATCTGTACAATATTTGACGAGTGAAATAAATAACGGCCAATAGTAAATGTTCATTTATCGTCCAAGGACATCATTAGACTTAACATGATAATGATTGGCACATTATTCCTCAGCATCCATAACATTATGTATATTGACTTCATAACCTATTCAGGCGTGTTTACAATATGCTTAAGACCTTTCACTGTACAAGTTACAAAAAAGTACAATCAGCGACATCGTGGTGGCTGGTAATATTCATTGAAAAGAATAAACATTATTCAGATGTCGATTCCTAAACTGCTTACATCTAAACTGGGGATCAATCAATATTTATCATCGAAATCAATCAAGAAATAAGAAAAAAAAACATGTTGAAATACTTTGTGCTGAGAATTCTTTATTGTGCCAAAAATATAATATTGAATAAAGTCAATAATAATAATACACTAATAACCTACGTATATTCATGTATGTATCTTCTACCTTTACTTAGCATGTTTCACCGATATAAACAGCTATATAAAACGTATTACTACTATTTATAAGTGTACTTACCAGTGAATCAACAGATGAATACCTTGTCTTTGATAAACGACATAGCTATAAATTGTACTTCTATTCTCAACCTACTTTTTTTGTCAGTAACCAGTTATAACATTCTTCATTCTTATACACGTGTAATGAAGCTTAAATTCGTATCTATAAACCTATATGTTGGTTAAGTGTAATGTTACATTTATGCATAATCATTTATTCAATTTTTGAATATTATTTGAATAGTTAAATCTCCATGGACATATATGCATCCATTCTAAGTGGATTACCTCTATTCTCTCATTTAATCACATGTTTTTATTACGATTCCATTGTTGCTAGCCATAGAATCCGGGACTTATCTTTCATCCTACTTAGAACACGTCATCTGGCGATGTATTTTGCTCATAATGCTGTTGTTCACACACAAACTCTAACATAATATCTTTTGTCATCAAAAATATCAAAACTTTTGATATAACTCTGTATCAAGATAGTCATACATGACTTAGAACCTGCAACTTTTGTGCATCTGTTTAGGTTACCACACTATATTAAAATGGCAAAGTTAAATTATCAAGATAAATACCAGAACAATAGAAGTAGTGACAGGTGTGGTGTGTGCTACTTATGTCGACAGACATAAGTAGTATATAACACCAATCAGAAGTGGAATGACTGTCAGCAGAAGGTTGAGAAGATCAGATTGAATAGAAATAGAATGTAAATGGGGTGTAATTGTAATTGCAATGAAGGAACGATGTAATTTGGGACGATTGATGGAAGATTTGCAAATAAAGTATTTAATGTATGATTTTTCACATAGATTTTTCCCACCTAAGTTCTCGTTCACTACAATAGTATCATTAGTAGTGGAAAAGGTTAGGTATTGACGATATGATGCGAGAAGAAAGTGTGATTTTGTAGAATAAAAAGAATATATGATAGTTTCGAAACTTTTTATCTAAGGGTGGACAAAGAATGATTGTATCTACGCTATTGCGGTTGATTTTTCGCCTTGTCATCCAACATTCCCAACCACTAATTTTGATGATTGCCGGAACCTCAAGCAGATAGTCTACACTTATTGATATGAATCGGTTCGTAAGGTCTTAATGTTTAAGACTGATACCAAGTTTTAGTTTACTCATTTTAGCTTTCTTACAGCCTACATCATTAAACATCTTACGTCGAGGTTCCAGACATTTCAGTCGATGAAGATTTCTTACCTATTAACCATTTTTATCTAGTGCCCTATATTTAACCCCAACACTTTCCACTTGGTTTTTACTGCATTCCTAATGAATACCTTCAAAGCAGCCCTGTCTCTACTTATCTGCTCTCATTAGCTCATAAACAGGGTTCACTAACTCCATAGTACCAGTAAGAAGTGAAGTGTTCAGTCTTTCCGCTGAAAAACCAAACACTAGTCGTTTAAAAATATTTTCTATTTTTAATGACCACATCTCAGACCCAAAATAGAACTACTGTTCAATGAACTTATCCATTCGTTGGCAGATGAACATCCCACCTACTCCACAATCGATCCAATTTCTCAATCCATTCCTCCAAAAGAGACTGTTCAACTGCAGTTCTAAATAAAAGTAACAAAGAGGGATTACTAACTCTTAATAATATCACATTGTTTTTTTAACTATGTATGTAGGTGATAAAGAAAAAACTTACACCTCGACGACGTTTACCACTTCTACGTATCTCTGGTACCAGTAACAGCAATAATGATAATAATAGTAATATTTCTGCTAGTAGTAGTACTGATTCTAAACCACACGAGTTAACAACATCAAATATTCTGTTATCATCTGTCAACCGACTCAGTTCACTGACTCCTTCCGCTGTTACTAGCGGTCGTGCTGATTCAACGATACATTCACCTGATGTCGATGATGATGATGACCTAGTCGATCCAACAACTGTTGCTGCACAAGAAGAAAAAGCTCAACGTGATTTGGAAATGATATTAGGTCGTCATGCTCAAATAGTAAGTTATTATTATTATTATTAGTAGTGTGTGTATATATAAATATATGTGCCCCATAGTAGCTTCTATGTTATTATATTCCGGCGTGGTTTATTTTCGCTTTTGGATAGAATTTATTAACTAATCAATCATTTTTACCTTCCTGTTAACTTTATTCTTTTCTCAGGAAATCCTTACCTGCAATATACATACCTCTTATATTCACGTCCTTGTAATTCTACGCCTATATGTCTCATGTGTATGGATGGATGTGTTTGTGTGAGTGTACGGATACGCATTGTTGATGAATTCCAACTACAATGAGAATTCCATGTATGATTGCTCTGTATACTTAAAATTCAATCACGTTACCAGTTTCATGGAGCTTATTTATTACCAGACATTTTTAAAGTTGTTAATTTGATATCGGTATACGCATAGATCATAATATTACATACATTTCTATCGTCGAACATTTAGTTCAGTCATTAAGAACAAATCGTATAGTTCGAATGTTCAACTTTATTTATTTTAAAATGTAACTCTGATCCTTAATCCAATCAATCAGTATGCATTAAGTCAGTACCTCGCCTACCACTCTATACAACATAGCTTTTTATTAGAATTCTTCACAATTCATATGAAAACTTATCACTAATGAGCCCATGATCACTATCAACAAATAGTGATCTTGTTAACCAAGATGTGCTCATATTTTCACTTTCAAGTTGAGAATATTGGGGAAAGATATTTCTTTCGGCATCTAAATTTGAAATTGGATTATTACTAGTTTTTGCGGTCTGAGAACATGACCTCAGAGCCTAAAAGAAGGTTGCTCGAAGTCGGTCACTTACAACTTTCTACTAAAAATTCTTTGATCAATTGGCTAGCTATTTTTTACGCCTCTCCGCTGGCAAATTGAGTTGCAGGAAAGGAGTTGTTGGGGATTCTTGTTGCTAAACATTTCGCAAACAAGATCAATCAGAGAACAACAAAATTAGTAGTTTGTCATCCCGATACATATCTGAACAGTTCTCCCCATTTCTTCATCATGATGCAAACTACTTTTCCTTATTATTTATCTTTTTTTTACTACTTATCAAGATGTCAGTAGTGTAATATATTTGTAGAAAATAAACCACCCCAATGTTTCTTCTACTTTTTCAGCAACCTAACAAGACGGGGAAACGAAAACGTTTCAAATCGAAACCATACTAATTATATTTTCTCTTATTGAAATGCTAACTTCATTTTGTTTGTTTTTACGATGGATGGCTTGTATTTTTCCACGATTGCTTCGTGTTAACAATAAAATTGATGGTTAGACTTTTTCAAATTTCTATGTATCTAAAATGTGCACAATCTTTCTTTTATCACCAAGTAAATTCATTTTTATCTTCTTCATTTTTATTTTCTTTAGTTGATTTTCTGACAAAAATGTTCCTTGTGAATTATTTACATTTTATATATATATATATATATATATATATATATATATATATATATATATATATTATTTGTACAGCTTTACTAATGGACATTTCCATATGCATTGCGTAATATTTGTTGGTAATACCTTTACCAATAATACTGCTATTGTGATGATATCTTCATTTTAAATAAATATAATAAATACAGAATCGCTCTGATATTTTCATAACTACAAAATATTACAATGATTCAAAGTGACGATGCTGTTTGGCCTGATAGAGATACGTCTTCAGTTGAGACAGTAAGCGAACCTAGAATAATAAATGCAAGTAAAATAGAGAAAATAATTTAATATAATGTGAAATAAATAGCAAGATATCACACCACCTTATAACTGTTCCTTCCATCTATTATATATATGAGATGCATGAATTTCAATAGATATTATTCTGTTGTTTTTCTCAACGTCTTTATTGTCGTTTTCTTAACTTCTGCATTATTCAGTATCTCGGTAATTTGTTAGCTATAAACAGTTTACTTTTAACACCCATATTTATTTAACAAGCATTAGGTTTTAATGTGAACATTGATATAAAGATATAGACTGGTTCTAAATAGGATAAAGTACATGTGGCGGCAGACAATTTAAAGAATATGACCGGACTTTTTACTTTTTTAATTTCGTACTACTTTGATGGTAATATAGGTAGTAATATTGACATGGTTAGATATTTGTAGAGTTGACATGTACAACTATCTGTTACTAGGTTAATTCGTTAACATTTCGTGTTACGTTTGTTCTCTGTCCTTGTTCTCTTCTCATCAATCCTTTTTATGTATTGTTTTATACTACTTATTAATATTAAGTAAACAGTTGTGTTCTTAGCAATTTCTACGCTTATGTTGTAACTCAACCCTGTCGTGTAATATTTTTAAATAATTACATATACTTATTGTATTGTATTTATCATTATAATTCCTTTCTCTCAATCTCTATAGCAGTTATTCACAGTTTTTTTATGGTTGCTTTATTTTTGTTTAAACGCAATGGTTCACATAATTGTTTGCTCCTGGTTCTGTTTTCGCTTATTGATAAACTGTTATCACAACCATCAGTTGTCATTAATATTATCGTATGTTATAATTATTCTTGATGTTAACAAAGCAAAAATCCTTTTTTCTTTCAAACTTAGAGACGCGCTAAATGCCACAGATACCACATAAGTTGAGTTTTGTAAGTAATTTATATATTATTCCTCAATGAAGAACCGTCTTTCAAACAAATCTTTGTGTTTATAAACTTCAATTTTACGTATATCTCAATTATATGATTTAAACACTTCGATAGAGTTAACACTTATCATAACTATTTAGTAATTTCAAATTGGTTTATTCGAGTAGCTTCCTAAAAAATTATCCTGATCGAATGATTTCAAAAGGGCAAAGAACATTACAATTTCATTGATTGAAAACTACACTAGAAATTTTTTCCTTTTCCATTATTAGTAAAATACTGGATAGAATAAATGAATGACATGTGTTCAAGAAAGAAAAAAATAGAACAATTCGTCCAGAGAGAATATTTCTTTCTAAAAGAAAAAAAGAAAACAAAGCAAACTTTTCCCTAAAATTTATAATAACTAATAATAGTACCTAAAATTTTAGGCGCCAACAAATGTTTAAACTGTAAATAGCTTTATAAGTATTCATGGTGTGTCCATCATATTTTTTTTGTATATTTTTATGAATATAATATGTTGTATACAACAAGTTAGAAGATAAATATGCATAAAAACTCCACCCGGATTACGTTATTATTATTACTATGATTACTATTATTTGCATGTGTACATTCATGTAGAGTATCCTTAGTGTTTTGATAATACTATTATTGTCGTTTTGAATAGTTTATTTTTCATATATATATACCCCTCTATTGATTATACTTGTTTCTCAATTGTTCATTTTATGACAGAGTATCATAAACATTAGTTATATATGTATAAATATATAATTTTAGAGTAGAAATAAAACTGATGGGATAGTATGGAAACGGGTTTATATTTATTAACAACACTATAACATGGAATAGTAAATAAACTGTTAATTTTGTATTGAGACATTTTCAATTTTACTCTTATACTTTGTATATCACTCGTTCTAATAATCATTACTAGATAACTCTCAACAGTGTATAAATGTAAGAAGATATTACAAAATTATGATTACAGTTTATAATGGTACTTTGAATAATTTTTTTCCGGTTAGTGTTGTTTTAGGGAGTTAGTTTTCTACGGGATGGGGTCGCTTACCCCATGCTCAACCACCCCCCTCATCCGGGCTTGGGACCGGCAGTAGCCCCCTGAGGGACTCCAGGCGGAGTTTTATAATGGTACGGCGTAGATCAAAAGACCATGAAACACATCAGTTTGGTTACGATTAAAAATACCAATGCATTGAATAAGATTCAAGAAGCACTTATATAAAATCGAATGAATAAGTCATCAAGCGATTTTATTGACTAATGTGACAATCGCTATTAAATTGATTGAATAACAGGCTTACAAACTGAGGTATTGGTGAGAATGTTGTAGTTTCTGTATGTGTAACTTTGATGCGTTGAATGATACCAGTATGATTGTCGATATAGTTTAAATCTGTCAATTGTCACTTGGCACTAGAAATTTAGGAAGTTGTCTTGAGAAATTATTCAAACTGGTAAGTACATGGTTATAATTGATTCGCTTTCATTTGAAGATTAGTTTGATCTTCAAACGATTGTCATCTACAGCTAACCTTAATGTTTCTAGATAAAATAAGGACTGGATTTGATTAGTCTCTGTCGACATATATGCATCCTGAGTGGATTGCTTTGATATTGTTCTTCTGGTTACAAATTTTTAATATATTTAATCTGTGATTAGTAATGAAATTCTAGACTTCATTTTATTTGGAACTGATCATATGGATGGGAATGCATCACAGTGTTGAAGTTTATATTGAAAGACTCGAACCTAGTACTCAATGAGTCTCAAATAGAAAAAAACTTGCTTCCTGCATTCTAATGCTAGCCACAATTCAATTATACTAAAAATCAAAACTTTCCTTTTAAACTACGTAAACATAACAAGAAAAATATTGAGTGATGAAAGAATTCTAATAATTCCTTGCTCGCTATCGATTTATCCTCCGATCGCAAATTAAATTCCATGATCTATGTAACATGGTTAAGCAGGTTATAAGTAAGATAGGAATTCATTAATACTATCGAATTATTCTAGCGTATTATTATGATAAATTGTCTGAAAGTTTTGAATTAACAGATTCTGACTTACTAATTGATCGTTGATTTATTGTGCCTGTTTGAAAGTATTTGATCAAATTTTGTAAGGAATACAAAATTGTATGTCCATTAGTGAGAAGAGTCCTTAACTGTGAATATACAACTTTTTAATATATTCTCTAGTTCCTAATAGTGTTTCCATCAGTGAACGTTATAACAAGTTTATTCTTCTATCTAGAAGTCGACTGTATATAAAATCTGTCAAACGTTAAATCTGTATGGAAATGTAAATATTACCAAGATCAACTTTGTTTTATCATTGGGAACACACTTGATATTGATTTAACCTTACAATTTAAGTTGTGGATAGTTAGCGACAGTGGCTGAATGTATATCTTATTCAATATATGTTAATCGTAAATAACTTCATCTCAGTATTGTCCATACAATTTCTAGATCTTGTTAATAACCGTCGAATAACAATGGCCCTAGTCACATGATTTTATACTACTGAAGTCTTAATTGGTGGGACGCTTGATTTACGATAATAAATATGAGAGTCAATCAAATCTCCTGTCTAGATAATAATTCTATGCTCATCGATGATTGACTTCGTGATGAATATTTAGCAAATCTCTAATGGAAAAATATGACCTATATATACATCGAAATTGAAAGTAAATTAGTTAATCATCCACTAATTATTTCAAATAACGATTGAACCATAGATCACGAATTAAATGAAGTATAAGAAAAGCGTAGATTAATGACTCTCGGACTATGTAGTCGCCTAGCGTGACGTTTACTGAAATAAACTGAGAGTTATACAATTTATGTCGGTTAAAAAGTAAACTACTGAAATGCTTTAAAATAGAACAAAGATGAATAATGGTTTTTTCTTGAAGATTTTGAGAAAAAAATTATTCAACTGACATCTAGTCTTTAAAATATTTCAAGAACAACTTTATGAAACCGCCTAACTTAGACAAAACACACGCGGTACATATAGTAAACCAATTATGATACATCTAACCTAAATATATTCATGAATCTATGTAAAAATATCTTAGATTTCAGAGACTTTCGTTGATATATCAATTAGATTCATTTAGATTGAGTCGAAGCAATCATGTCTTACAATTTGTTAGTGAATTGTTTTGTACAGAAGAAAAGAATATATCTTCATAACTTCATTCATATGCCTATCTATTGGTTAACTGACTTGTATCAATTGTATTTATCATTTGAAGAATATAATTCATAGACAATACACTACACTACAGTTTCTTAAGAGAACCTAATTATTCTACAAACGTGTATTGTTCTCAGCTCTATAAATAACAGCCATGAATATTCAGGTGTCAAGGAATAATCTAGCAATTATGTCAGGAAAGCCCCCAAACGCCCTAGTATGGCCGAGAGTGGAGAGAGTCCGCTTTCCACCTCGAAACGCTCTCGCATGGCCACGCATATATAGCCTCTGCCAGGGAAGTCCCACTCGTGGGTGTTGTTTACGAAATTGAGAGGACAAAAAACGAACGTCCAGTGCTTTAACCGGGTTGGTGGATATGGAGATTCCATCTATGAGAGTTGGGAAACCCTGATTTCAAACCAATGGTGCACATAGGCTCCAGTATTCTGAAGGAACAAACGGCGTATGAACCAATCGTTGGTCACCTGTTACCATGAAACTGCACCTCCTTACCATGCTCCACTGCCTTCTGGATCAGACCTTCAGGTCGAAG